TCGAAACATGTTGCTAGCAGCAGAGGCTGTGTTGGCAGATGAACATGAGAGCAGCTGAGCCTTTACACTTACACATACACAGAAATAAACACACACACACACAGAGGCAGTCAAGAGGCAGCGATTATGCTCCACGCTGGCATTTCAGCTTCCTCTGGCCGGTTAAACACATGAAGACACACACACACACACACACACACACACACACACAATCTCGCTCTCCAGTGTCTCGCCATGATTGTGTACATGCAAGTATGCATGCAGGAGTGTGTGCTAGAGAGAGGAGAAAAATATCAGCTGGGTCACAGATGGAGGAGAATTTAAGACAGAGAGGCAGGAAGAAGGAGGGATGGAGAGGAGGAAACAGGCTGCTGAGCATCCCTCTCAGAAGGAGACAGGATTGTGGGGCTGCTCTCAAGGGTATCGTGCCAAGCCAGGAAGTGTAGAGCAACGGAACGGGAAGGGGGGGGGGGGGGGGCAAGGAAAGCCAGAACAGGGGAGAGAGAGGGACATGTGGGAGAGAACAAGATTTATACAAAGACCGCAAGTCAATGAGAGATGAAGAGATGGGGGAGCAGTGAAATAAAGAAAGTCTAAGGCTCACTGGCCGTTCCATAGAGCTCCATTTTTATTCAGGATAATAAGGATGGGATATAAATTTTTACTATTGTCAATAACTCTCCTGAAAACACCAAAGCCAGAGATGCATTCTGTCTCTAAGCCTTCTCACTTCCCCTAGATGTCTGTAGCAGTTAGTCCTAAGTCCACGTGATCTAACAGGAAACATAAGTCTATACATTCATATACAATGTGTGTTTTATGTTTAAAAAAATGCAAATTAATTTTCTAAAACAGCTTGGCACTGTTGTTTTAAGCAAATATTTCCACAAACAGGAGAAAGTAATGTTTTTTGCAGGGACTATTTTCAGCTGTGAATAAACACTACTGGGCATTTTCAGCGACATGATGAGCATTTGTGGGACTGACTTAAAATAAATCAATGATCATGGCAATGAAGATATGTACTATCAGGATGTCCCAATAATTCCCTAAAAAGCCTCCAGTTAATCCAAACTGCTGCAGCCAGAGTACTGACAGGAACTAGCAAGAGAGATCATATCTCTCCCATATTAGCTTCTCTCCACTGGCTCCCTGTAAAATTCAGAATAGAATTTAAAATCCTTCTCCTAACATACAAAGCCCTTAATGACAAGGCTCCATCGTATCTTAAAGACCTCGTAGAGCCTTATCATCCGAGCAGAGCACTTTGCTCTCAGAGTGCAGGTTTACTTGTGGTCCCTAGAGTCCACAAAAGCAGAATGGGAGGCAGAGCCTTTAGCTATCAAGCTCCTCTCCTATGGAACCAACTCCCAGTCTCAGTTCAGTCACCCGCTGTGACTGTGTGAAGTACTCCTGTCACCTTGGTAGAGCAATGACGATGCTAAAATAATTCCTAGCCATACTGAACTGCAAACCGCAGATAGAACACTATACTGCTGTTGGTAGGTAGGTACTTTATTGATCCTACCTAGCAGTATCAGTATGTTACTGACAGCCTCCATACAGTGATATTTTACATTACAGAAGCCAAAAGATAAGGCTGTAATTGAACTGACGACAGAGAGCAGGTCAAGTATCAGAGCTCAGATGGGACAAGGAAATAACACATATCCATTACTGTTTTTCCCACCCACCAAGAGCCGGGGTCTGTCGGAGGTTTCTTCCTTTAAAGGGAGTTTTTCCTCCCCACTGTCGCCAAGTGGTTGCTCAAGGGGGATTTGTTGGGTTTTCCCTATGTAATAATATTGATAACAGTAAGGTCTAGACCTTACTTTGTAAAGTGTCCTGAGATGACTTTTGTTGTGATTTGGCGCTATACAAATAAAATTTGATTTGATTTAATTCAGTGCAACAGTGTGGCTCATCTAAATCTTTTCCAATAATCGAAGTCTATAGTGGAAAGGAAGAAGCCCTATCAGACTTTGGCTGCACAAACAATACATTGTGTTTGTGAGATTAAAATATATATATAGAAGAGTACCTTTAAAAGCACATCATTTTGCCACACTTAGAAATGGGTAACATGTTCCTTCATCACCATGAACATTACCAGGTAGTTTATTTTGAGATAATCCCACATACATCGTCCTGCTGCCTGAAATCAGGCCCCAGTAAATGCACTGTTGGCTCATCTTTGTGCACTGTTTGCTAAAAACTACAGTCACCAGCCACTTTAAGAAATTACCGAAATGTGCACACATCTTCAGGGTCAGTGGAAAAGTATTGATAGACAGGCTGCCATTGTCCACTTGTCCCAGAGATCACAGGAGCTGCTCTGAAATACCCAGCCAAAAGAGATGTCATTTCTGTGTGTGTGTGTGAGAGAGAGAGAGAGAGAGTGTGTATGTCTATGCCCTCCCTTCTTCCCTTTGAAACGAATCCACCAAATGTTAAAGCTGACGTGGGGTGACAGTTGCACAGTAGTGCTGAAGGAGGTAATTCAATAATGGATGTCGTCTCTAATGTGGGAGTCTGGATGGATAAAATATACATGGGAGAGAGGAGACAGGGGAAGTGAGGGAGGAGGGAGTGGGAGGAGAAGGGTGGTGATGTCACTGAAACAGTGGGGGGTCATAGACAGGGATGGGTGGCATGACATCGTATAGAAGACACAGTGTGTGTTTTAGTGGAGCGTTTTTTTTCTTCTCTGTCTTCCAGGTTTTTACTGAGGGTTATTTGACCTCTGAGGGAGTTCGTATTTGGTAACCTGGTTATCCTCCAGGTCACTCATTCTGCTATAAACACCCAGTCATTACACCCACAATACAAGGGTCCAGCTCCACCCGCAGGAAGATGTGTGTATAAAAATCCAACAGCAGCACCAGGAACAGAGGGAAGGATGGAAGACTCTGAGCCTTCATGTCTTGACAACTGCCATCTCACCACGCAGAGGTCAGAGGTCACAAATAAAACATACCCAGTGACAACAGATGGGGACACACACTCAAAGGCAAGCAGCCAAAGCACGTCAGGCAGTAGATTGCAATTACACATGGATAGAGATGCACATGCACATTAAATATCCAAGGCATGTATAAGCTAGCATCACCAGGCTCTGCCCAGAGTGAGATGCGTGCAGAATACCGAGTAGACAGCTACACACAGCGATGAAAAAGTAAGTTACTGTAGAAACTCCGCTCCATAGAGGGAATTAAACTCATGCTTCAAATTTACAACACCCTGAACAACAAGCACCCTCATTTTACATGATCAACAGACAAATGCCAGTGATTCATGTTCTGCTCACACAGGGCAAATGTGGGCAAGCTCAAAGAAATATAAAAAAAAAAACAGCAACTTTCAAGGATTTCAACACTCAATACTATAAGTGTAACCTTCACCATCCCCATGTGTTCAAAGGAATTCTCAGACGGCATTTTGAACTGACAGAAGGTACTTTTCCAAATTCTGTCTGACTTGTGAAATGCTTTTAGTAACAAGAGCGGGCACTTACTGCTTTCCAAATACAGCGTTAAGGACAGATAAGGAAATTCACTGTTCATTTCAGTCAGAAAAGATACTGTCAAGGAGTGAACGGCAATTAAAATATAGTAAAAACAAAGCTGCCAGAGACAAATACTTCCAACTTACAGCACTTCTTCCTTTTTATCATGCTGGTTTTAAATAATAAGATCAATGTAGGAGTAATGAAAATCCTTCTATGTTCTTTAGTCATATTTTCATAGTAGATACACAGAAAAAGAGAGAAAGGGACATAAGTAAAATAGTGACACTCAGCAGAAACAACGCGTGCAGAGGAAAGAGTCAGTGCATTTCAGCACCATGGACAGAGAACCATACAAGCAGTGTTTCCTCCCTGTATTTCACATTTCATCCACTATAATTGTTAACTGTGAGCTTTTTTCAATGCATGTACCACAGATTTAGATATTTTAATCAGTTTCGTCAAATCTCTTAGGATCATTCAATCCCACTCAGCGCTAAATGGCACAGACAGAGACTCCAGAGGCTTCTAATTCAGTCACTAAATGTAATCCATCTCTGTGGAGGAGCCAGATGTATCTCTCTCCTTCTCTCTCAGAAGAATCATATTTTGTAAAGTGACTTCACAATGTAAATATCTGGCTTTAACATGAACATTGTGAAGGAATGAACTCATGTACAGACAAAGAATGCATATTTATTTAAGTGCCTTCTAATCTGTATTTAGTCAGACAGACCCAACTAAAACCAAACAACAGCTTCACCCTTTGTAGTTTGTAAAATTAAAATTCTTTGGTGGGAGTAACTTGCATCAGTAGTTGAAATCAGCAAAACTCCAATAAAGGTGAAATTCCTGAGACAGAAGAAAGTTTGATGCTCTTATAATGTTCAATGAGATTAATGGTCTTCATGTTGTTGATTTCCACTGTTTGATGCCTTAATTAAGAATAAATGCCAAGAAATAAAATAAACATGTCAGTCATTCAATATCTACACCGGACATTTGATGGTTTACACATCATGTATTCAACCTTTGCAGAACCACACAAGGCACTGTGGTCAGACTATGGTTCCTCTGCTTCTGAACCTTCATTGCACAGCTCACTGGAGCTGACAGAGATGCTCCCAGAGCGAAAGGGCTCATGTCCAGCTGGAACATGCTGCAGTCTGAAGACTCCCACTGTACATTACCATCACTTGACCATAACTTCCAAAAGCAAACATGGAAAGACTCCAAACTGTCTAAATGCTATTCCTCCACTGTCCTTCCTTGTCTGTGTAATATGACTTTCAGCTCAGAAAAGTCTGGGCAGCATAAAGTGGCCATGCAAAGGAGGAAAACAGCAATATGGGTTAAAATGAATTTAAATGAGTTTCCCTTTCAAGGAAGCAACTCTTTATATCCCACAAAAAACCCAGAAATTCTTTGAGCATAAAAACTAACCTTATATTACAGCAGTACGGTGGCGCAAAGAGGTGAGCAAACATGAACTTACCTGCTACTTTTCCGAGGCAGAGGTAGATCCTTCTGGTGAGAAAGATAAAGCAAGAGAGAGAAAAAGAAGGAGGGGAGAGCAGACACATTTGACAGGTTAGATGAGTTTTACATAGTATGTGATCTGTTACTGCAGCACTGTGCTGTAAATGTGGTGATGGAATCAAAAATAGCATAACAGTGTCTGTAATCTGTCAAAGAAACACTGTAAAAAAAAAAAGCAGCAGATCATTTTAAGAGATGATCTTAATTTTTTTTTTTTTTTGCTTCCATGTGAAGCACTTTGTTATTTCTTAGGATTGCCAGGCTGTGTAGAAATAAATCCTTCATATATTTATAAGCAAAGGACCCCAAATTAAAATGGACCACACTTGCTTATGCTGAACAGGAAAATCATTAAGGCAAACAGGCATTTTGAAATGGTAATATTCTACGCACCAATTCACATCGTCATTATGAAGTAAACTCAAATTTAGCTGATGCCCCACTAAGAATCGTGTATCTTACAGTAAAAAGAAAATAATGATCTCAGCAACATTATTGACTTTATTATTAGCATATCCCACTGGGTTCCCACACAGCAAAAACCTAAGAAGGAACAACTGGTAAATCACAGTGTCAAACTGTAACAGCTGCAGTCACTCAAGTCGCCACATCGAATGTAAGAACAACCTCTCTTACTGCTGAAACCTTTGACAGAGTTGTAGGACACTGTGGCTTAGGGATGAACAAGTTTAACAAGTATAATAACAATGTTGCTTTAAAAATGTAAGACAGGATGAGATTTCTCTATGGCCACGTTTGTGATTTCTGTGTTGTCGCCCAGTGTAGGTGGAAGCAGTTTGAAAATTGATCCCTCCTAAGTGCTCAGAGACTTCCGAGCTTCAGGAACCAGCAGGATGAGTGGAGCCAAAGTCAATTTAAAAATGTTGCTGCTATATTTATGACACCGGGACACAACAGCAAGGACTCTGATGTGATTAGGATCTGCTGGGATGGATCTGTATGGTGTGTGTTGCACAGTTTGATTCCATTTAATACTCGGCCTAGGTAAGATCAGGTTACGTTCAGTTTCTATTGTCAGCCTGCCCTGTGCCGCTTATCAAGCTATTTTCTACAGCTCAGTGGCTCTGATAAAAAGATCTTATCATGTTTCTTTTCAGTAAGGAAAAGCTTAATGACACAGAGCCATGTGTGTGAAATGAAAGGAATCCTAGCGACTAACCACACCAGGGCCAGAACCTGAAAACAAACACAAATATGAGAGGAAACTAAGAGACAGTAGTTGCTTTTCCAGAGATTGATTTCATCTCAGTAGATGAGGGCAGTGCAGAAATCTCTCTCTATCTCTTTGCCTTTGTATAAGTAGCCAGGCATTACAAAACCCAAACAAAGCCAAACTGATGAAACATGACTTGACAGCTGGAGCTCTCGTCTCCAAACGGTCTCAAAACAAACTTGCTTCTAAAACTCACACGATTTACTTTCTAGAGCTGCGAGGCACTAATGCTCACACTCCATATAAAACTATGGGGAGCCAGAAACCAAACTAGGTCGCAAAGACACATTGTAAGAAGTCAGAGCCTATGCTTTCCAAAGGCGCGATGAAGAGAAGATGCAGTATAAGTGCATCAGCTTAAACAAGCTGTACTGTATATGATGTGTGAGCTCTAGAGGTCCAGAGCCATGCTAACTGTTTCCCCCTGCTTCCACTCTTTACGTTAGGCTAAGCTAAATGTCTGCTGGCTGTAGCTTCATGTTTACTGTACATACTGTATATGGGAGCAGTATAATACGCATATGTCTCAACATGTCAAAGTATTCATTTAATGTGGATATGGCCTATCACAATTTCTCAGTGCAGAGGAGACAGATCACTTTTTTCAATGGAAGTGACATCACCTATGATAGTGAGCTCTTTCTGGGATGGCTAATGAGTTACATCATCAAGAGGAAGTGAGCTTGGCCAGGGTGACTCAGAGAGAGCCCCGCAGGAGGCTTAAGTGTGTGTGTGTGTGTGTGTGGTGTGCGTATGCAGGGTGATAGGGGTGGCTAATGGATAAAATCCCAACACCTGCTCCCTCTTGCCATCTCTGCCCAGTAGACAGCTACTGTCTTGTTGCCATGTTACTGGTCACTGCAGCATTTCTTAAAATGATACCACTTCAGGTGACCATGTCAACCTGCAAAAGTTCCCAGTATCATCCACTTTGCTTGTAACATAAGCAAAAAAAAAAAAAAACTACTGCATTAAAGGATTTTTTAAACTGTGTAAAGATCAGAGCTCAGAATGCAACCGTGCAGTGGAAAGAGATGATTTAAAGACAGACACTGGCTATTACATTTTCAAAACATTTCATCCACCGATACAGGAAATGTGTATATTTAATCCATAAGGCTATCAGATCTTTAAGAAGGGATCATATCCTTTGCTATGGCTGAGTGTGAACTAGAGATTCCTGATGAACAACATCTTGCTGCTGTACACTTCCTAGAGGACCATGCAAAACAGCTTCCTCTGCCTGAAAAGTGAAAGAAGGGTGCTGCATGGTTCTCTGAGTTGTTTTTGGTTTATATTTACCCAAGGACAACACCGCCAAGGCCAGCTGGAAACCAAAGAAAAGAAAGATGTTAATATGCTGTTGCTCTGAGCAGAATCGTGAGGCTTCTGTTCCGTTTTCATTGCCAGTGCTGACAGCAGATTGCAAGGCAAATGTCATGTGGTGTATTCTTCAGTTTAATGGTCTATCAGCCTTCCAGGTTTACTTAAAAGCTTCAGATTACACTGAGGTCTAAAATCATGCAATGCCTCAATGAAATGTATGAGTCAGTCTCAAACTTTATTACGTTTTGTTACACCGGATGTAGTTTAAAACTTTAATAAGCACTATTATTTCCTATCTTTTCCAATTTGTCTGTTTTTGGGGATTACATGGGCTCAAGCTTTTGTGCTTTAGGCCTCCAGCATAATAATTCAAGCCCACCAAAGACAGTTCTAATATTTGAAGTCAGTCCCAGATATATTCTGGCCCCGATTTGTTGTTTTGATGTACCTTTCTGAATAACTCTGACATCAGATGGACAAGATGAGGCAGAACAAAGCGGTGGCCATGGCACTGAGTGACAGGACTTGGCAGAGAGCGGGATCTTCTGCAGTGATCACATTCTTATCCCTTGTGTTTAGCATATTGGAAATGGGAACACTGCCCAGAACAAAAATACTGGACAAGTGCTTGTGTGTGTGTGTGTGTGTGTGTGTGTGTGTGTGTGTGTGTGTGTGTGTGTGTGCATGAAAGAGAGAGCATGAGAGAGACTGGCATACTCCATACTCCTACAACAAAGAAGAATGAGACACACAGTGTGACTTGTGTTTGTGTGTGGGACTGTATGAGCATATGGGTTAAGTGTAAGTATACTCCACACACCTCCACCCGCTCAGAACAACACAACAATTTTCACTTGAGATGAACTCAGTTCACATTAGTGACATATTTAATTTAAAACATTTCAGAGGTACAGTGTCTATAAATAAGAGCAAATGGTCATACGTATTTTAGCATTTTCAAAAGCTGAAGCCAGGATTCTTTGTTTCTTGTCATATACTGTCCCCACATACAATGCATGTCTTCATCATCAATTGTCTAAAAAAAAGCACAAAAATGCCTACATTTCTAATTGAAAAAGTCAATAATAACTGGGAAGAGAATAAGCACTAAGCCTCAAAATGAAAAGCTGATTTGCATAGGTGACCAAGCCAAATAAATGTGATGTAATGTAATGACAACCAGAGTGTGAAATACCAAGCTGGGGCATGTCAGCTGTGCCAGAATGATCCAAAAGGAAAAGAAGGGATAAAATAACACAAAAATCCTTTATTAAGCAATGTGGAGACATGGACATGGAGATGGGCATTTCAAAGAGATAAGAAGAACTGGGTGGCAAGTAAGAATGACAAAGATGGAGAAAAGCAAATACTACATGACCCCAAGTGAAAGATGGCAACAGCACTGTTCAGGATACTGCAGTAGGCGATTAATAAGTACATGTGAATATCATCGAGTCTGATGATGAGTCTGACATGTACTGCTCCACAAACCAGTCAAGGAGGTGTGGTAATGCACCTACTGTACAGTATAAGCTGGGTGCAAACTGTTCAAGTGTCCCAGAAACTGTGTGCCAACATGTTCAAAACCACGACCCTGACAGTAAGCATGTCCTGAAAATGGAAGTAAGGAATCATTAAATGTATTGATTACTCTTGCACATTTCCTACTGTGACATGTCAAAATGTCTTCAGTGAAAAGAGCTTTATTGGAATCAATCTAAACCCAACTCCACCTACGGTTTAGCCCTGTTTATTTTCAGTGACCACCCTCACAGACGAACACAGACATCATCTATGAAACACAAAAATGTCATACATATACACACAGAATCCTTTACCTCCCTCCCTCCTCTTCCTCCTGTCTCGCTGATGTGAAAGTAAACCCAGGCGGTAAAGAGATCCAGATATTGTAACAACCACTTCAATGGGGTCTACAGAGGCCCCCAGCTGCTGCCTGCCTCTAGTCTACCTGCCCCCTCCCCCCTCCTGGCCTCGAGCCCTTTCAGCCCATCCTGCTGCTAGTGGTTGGTCTTCCTCCCTGAAGGCAAACAGGACAGTTAGGCCCCCATTAGTCCTGCTAATGGGCCTGACAACTGCACCACATCCTCAGCATTTAGCCCTCCTCTGTCTCTGATATGGATATCGACCACTTCAGTGGAAATGGAGAACGAGGGAAGGGGGTGGGAGTCGATTTGATGTGTACATATGGGCATGAGTGTTATGCACAAACACAGGATGCTCGGTGTAGCCACAGTAGCGTCGACTGAACGAATGGACACACACATTAACATGCACTCAGGATCTGGTTAAGCTCAGAAGTGCAGTTTGTCTCACCAGTGTGATTTTCTCGTAAGTGCTTGTGTCTCTTTATGTGTACCTGTGTGTTCCTCGTTTTAGTTGAATATGAAGTTCAGTTTATAAAGGTGTGTGTTTCTGTCTCGCTGTGGTTCTACATACACATTACTAAAACTTTACATTCATGTCAGACTGTTTCGTTTCTCCCGCTGCCTGTCCGCCCTGTTCCTCATTTCCAGTGATGGTGTCGAATATCTGAAACTGAGCTACAATTCACTTATGAGGAAATCTTTCAATCATAAGCGCTACAGGGCTCTGCACAGTTACTGAATGTATTTTAATTTACTGCCAAGCATGCCTTTTAAAATAAATCTAACACTAAGCTGGGAAAACTATACCCATTTCAAAATCTACAGTAGATATACTGTGTGACAGTTGTGTTTTTTACCTCAAACTCTGATTTTGAGGAATTAAGCAATGGCTCCTGTGCACAGAATCTCTCCAAAAAAACTTATTTACACAATTACAGTTGTTTAATAAAGTAAAAATAGCAGACATCCTCTGGTTCCACCTGATCAAAAAAGAGGATTTGAAAATATCTTTTCAGTTTGGACTTGTGATGGGCATATGCCTGTATTTTTATTTCACAAAATCAATCAATATTAAAAAATAATAAACTGATTAGGCCCTGCGATGGACCGGCGACCTGTCCAGGGTGTACCCTGCCTTTCGCCTGGTGCCGGCTGGGATTGGCTCCAGCCCCCCCGCGACCCCATTCAGGACTAAGCGGTATAGAAAATGAGATGAGATGAAATAAACTGATTAATTCATCTTGAAACATAGAGCTGAAACTGAAGCAGTGGTTTTATCTATTTAGGGCATTGACTGGCATCAATATTGATGATGAAATGATTGTTAATTCAAGCTCTTGAGTAAGAATGCCAATTATTCTCTGTTTAGTTTCTGATAAGTACATGTTACTTTTACTGGTTTTCGTAGTTGTCTATGATTAAAAACTGAATCCCACTCGTCTTCAGGATGTTGGTCAGACAAAACAAGCTGTTTGAACATGTTAGATTTGCCTTTAGAGGATCTTAACTAATGGGCAGACTAATTAATATTCTTTAAAAAATTGTTATTGGCAGGTAAGAATAAAAAACTCAGGGACATAACGATGATTCACCTGATTCACTTTGAATATTTATAGAGAAAGAGCAATTATAAAAGGCCACACTTTAAATGCCACCAAGTCTCAGAGGAGGGTAAATGTTCAGCCTACAGTTCAACAAAGGTAGGACTGGAGGTAGAGGTACCTCTTTTATTCCTTAGAACGACAAACTCAAGCAACGACTGACATTTATCATTACATCTTGAACCTCCTTTTAACCCACCAGGTCTAACAATAGGAGCACAGCACTTATAGCAGTGGAAACTCTCTACAAGTCCAGCAGTGTTGCTGCTGTTCCACCAACAACATTTGTACAGAAAATCTTTTCATTTCACTTTGTCTATATTTCATAAACAATGAGCAATCATTTAGAGGAGAAAATTGTGGCACAGTGTGCAGCCAAGTACTTTTAAGGTAAAATACTTCAGGAGGAAGTAGAGTAGGTCTGGCAGACAAAGGCTTGATTAATGTCAGGGGTTATACGCTTGATTAAATATAAAACATTCATGCAAATCATTTTAATAAGGTGATTCAGATATGGAAACACATGAGGGTGATGAAGGTCTCACCTGCAGCCTCCGTCTCCGGATGATCCCTGAATCATCCATGGGCGCGTGTCCGGGTTCACACCTGTCAGAGGGTCTCGTGGCTCCTGTGGTTTCCAGGTTACGGAGCGAGAAGAAGCCCCACTCTCGCGTTGTTTTCAACGAGCCAGTACCTTAGTTTACTACTAAACCGTAATTCTTGTTGGAGTGCCTGGTAAATTTCACATCATTCAACAAAAGGCCTGTAATATCCGGTAATTGTCTCAGACATAAGTCGGCACCGTGGTAAATAACAGCATGCTCCCTGTTCGAGATATTTATGTTCTGTCACGCTACATGCCCAAAGGCTACGACGATCAAATGTGACCAAAGTTTAAAAAGTGCCACTCCCTGTGGTCAGGGTCAGCCTATACATCGCATGCTGACAAATACTGACAGAGATACTGACACCGCTGCTCTGTCATGGGAACTGCTGAATAAGCGGGAGGATGCTCGGTGGGATCAGCGTGCGCTGCATGAACTCAAGTCCAGTTGAGAGATAGAGAGGAAACCCCCCGAACAACCCGCACTGTCAAACCGAGCCATATCACACCCAAGACTAGACAAACCACGCAAGTTTGCAGACATCTTCGCCCCCAAACGCACGGCGCAAAACACAGCCCAAACCCCCAAACTGGTTTGTAATAAGTCGCTCACTTCACCAGTAACTGTCCAAAACAAATCAGTTCAGCTGGGAAGGCTGCTGTCATCCTTTATCATGTTTCTATCACAGCGATCCTCTGTTGATCTTCAAACCACTTGGTGGCAGAAATCCTCTGTCTGAATCCACACGCATCCAAACCATATGCAACACAGTCTATATGCTAAGAAGGCGCCGGTGCATGCGTGTACACGGAGTTCAGTGCATCCTTGCACAAAAAAAACTACAAACCTCTATTACATGACACGTCCACACGCTGTCAGAGCTTATGTGCACTGAAAGCGCAAGATCAGTCTGTAGCGACTCTACACGTCCACACACGTATCAGCAATGAAAGCAGGTTTGATCATCAAGCGTTTTCGTGCGCCGGTAAACAGATTCCCCGGTTATACAATGTGCTCACTCCTTCCTTCTCTAGTGTAACATAGCTTCTTTCGCGAAAATGATTCTGTGGTTGCTACACAGGGTTTGCTCCATCCTCAGCCCTCAACCACCCACTTCCTACTACCCAGTGACGTTTAACCCCTCAGCGACCAGAGGCTTTGAAGGAGATCGTGGCTGTGCGAGTTGTGATGTGGTTTTTTTCTTTCTCGATTTTGGTGTAACAGTGAGTTTTAGTGGGGAAACCGTGGAGGAAGCATGTGTCGAACTGCCCCCAAAAGACAGTAACTGTATGACTGCGATGGCCCAGATAAGAGAGGAAAACCTCAGACTGTAAAATAAACAGTTTCTTCCAGTGTAGTAAATACTGTGCCCCTGCCTGTAACAAACACCTCAAAGGCTCCTTGATTCCCCTTAAAGACCCCAGAGCCCTGCACATTACTTTGTGTGTCATCAGCGGCTTGGACAAAATAACAAACACTTGATAGAAATGACTTTTGACTGGCACAATTACAAAATTTGTCAAAGGTGTGGGTCTATTTCATCTATTGCATTTAGATCTAAATGTTTTATATAGATTTATTTCAAAATCAAGTGTTGAAAATAATGACAACATTTTTGTCACTAGAGTAGAAATCATATGGTGATACAGTATGTGTGTACAATGAGAATGTACCATATAATGTAATACCTCTCCCTGGGGCGTTATTAATAGGCCATTCTGAGCAATATTGCAAGTGTGTTTGATGGAAATACTGGATTTCTGTATGTTTTTTTAATATCAGTGTAATAAACTAACTTTATTGGTCAAAGCTAATAGGACCCACCATTTTTGTAAGCTGTTTGTAGAGAGGTCTGTTTTGTTGCTTCAGGGTTGAAGTGCTTATTCAGGAACGGTTCTGTGTGGCTCGTGTAGCCGACATCATCTAAATGAATTACCATTCAACTGGGTCATGCCTCCACTGCTATTCCAATAAAAAATGGCATCAAGCATTATCCAACATTCACACCTGTCACACACAGAAGTCACTACCACATAACATTTCATGGCTCTTCACCCTTCAGCTACTTGCACCCTGGATCCAAATGGTAATGAATAAATGCTGGCATGGAAGCAAATTCCCACTGTGGTGATTTAACAGAGAAAGGTCTTGTGTGCTGTTGACAGATTAAGTCAAACCAGGAGTTTTCTGCAGATCTAATGTTCATACCAAGCCTGCCAACAGATGTGGATGTATTGTCAACAAGAGAAATGCATGCCCTGGACAGTACTAAGCAGCTGGAATAACTGACTATACTAAAACATTTAAATGCAAAGTCTGCAATCTTAAATATACTGACTAGAAAGAAAGTAAAACAAAAAAGAAAAAGGGGACTAGACAAAGGAGAATTAATGGATTTTAGCATCATGGCGTTAATAGTCCCCATCCCTCTGAGTAGACAGAACCAAAACCATATATTACAAAAATGGACATGTTATAAGCATAACTATACAGGGGTGTCAGCAGGTGAAAAATGATGTTTTGGGGAATGACCCAGTTACCAGCTTGTCTGACTTCTCTTGCACATTTAAGCTATGCTGCTTTTCTTATTAATATTTTAAAAATTAATGAAGGCATATGAATTTTAGATATTTTTTATTCACTGTTGCGGTGAGGGGGAGGCAGCAGCGTGGAGCTCATATGAGCACAGTTTTAACAGGCAAAGACTTTTTTCCAATTGCTCTGTGCAAAAGCTCTCAAAATGATGTCACCCCTTCTCAGTACATGTCCCGAGGGAGGTCACATGGGGTCATCTCTGCAGCCAAGAGCTTGGCAGGATTGAAATTTGGAATATGCCTGCTGCTTGTGTGATCCCATTTCCCATCCCAGTAAGCCTGTCTCACAAGAGCCACGTCAGCTCACATTTCTTTATAGACTGCAAGTGCCCCCGGCTGCAATCACATCTGCTCTATCTGTGTGTGTGTGTAGGTTAATGAGAGGAGTCAGCATTACCCTCTTATATACAAACTGGAACATAGGCAAAAGGCCAGAGATGCACTGATTCAACTCCATGGTTAATCTGAAGCCATAGCGTGTTTTGTATTGGGTCATATTGGAATTCATCATTTAGAGGTGCAACTAATGATTGTTTTCTCCAGCAATTTCTCAATTAATCAAATAATAGTTTGCCTACTAAAATGTTGCAAAAAGAAAAAACAATGCCAATCAAAAATTTCTCAGAGTCCAGAGTTGCTTTTTCAAAGTGCTTCTCTTTCTGATTAACAGTTCAAAATCCAAATGCTAAGAAAACCAGAAAACATTTCAGACATGGACTTGTGAATTTTTGCCATTTTAAAGGATGTAAACAGTTAAAGAACTTTCTGCTAATCAACTAATTAAGTGGTTCTCTTTCTGTTATATCACTGAGGAAACTACAAATTAAACATGCTATATTTTATTGAAATATTAAAATATCAATTTAGGCAAAGTAACTTTGCTAGCATCACAACAGCCTCCACTAACCCTGAGGCCTCGGCCCATTTTCATGACTACTGGACTAAGTGGTTAAGTGACTGGATGTTATTATATGTATTTGTTATAATGTGTTGGCATTATAAGTCATCTGTACGGCTAAATGTGGGACTGAGACAACACAGCATGGACACATTAAAATATAATTAACTCGAAACACCCTTGAGGCTCAATGTTGGGTCTGCTAATGCACCTCACTTATTAGGACTGTGCCTCCAAAGTGCATTTTAAAAACACCCCAGTAATGAGTGTAGCTAAGTATAGTATACTGTATTGTATAGTATAAATCCTGACAAATGATTGTGTGAAGATACTGAATGCATCAGCAACAATGATTATTTGACTAGTAACTAATATATTTATTTGAAAAAAGCACCTTTATTTTGAGCAGTGATTATTTGAACTTTATGAAGCTCTTACTTTGTCTCTGTTGCCGTGAAAGTTAAGTACTAATTGCCACATCTCTTTCATAGCTGACTAGCTGCTGCTGAAAGGCACTCAGCCTAATATGAGCTGATTCTGTAACAGTGTTTGTATAGTGATTATGACTGCATTAAGAGGAGCTATGTCTAAGCTGTTCACCATCTTTAGGTTTTAATTAACAACTTAATATTGTGCACACTGTCCTACATTCACAAGTTCAGTACAACTCCATTACAGCCTCACTGCTATTGTAGCCATGATTCACACTCAATAAACCTTTTTAACAGCACACATTAAGACTTGCCGAACAAAATCGAAACTAATAATATTAATGATTGTGAATGCCACTGAGAGCACGCACAGTAACGAGGCTCTGAAGACGTCAAACTACATTTAATGTAACCATTATTAATGTTGTTAATCACAGCTGTGTATTTTGTTGTGTGTTATCGAGTCTGCCATGAAAAAGGTCTATATTGCACTACAACTACAAAAAAAAAACAACTTTTTTTACCTTCTACAATGTTTAGGGAAACAATACAAATTACTGTACAATTTACCCAAACTCTCCACTTACATTTCCACTTTTATCGACCTCGTGTCCCCCTGTTATCTTCATTTATCCATTCATTCTCTTCCATTAGCTCTCCTTGCCCCATGACTCCTTAAAACCCCTAAACCTTCTCTCAGCTCCAACCTTCTCCTCATTTCAAGCCCCATTTGTCTAGAAGTGGGTCACAGACTGCTGCTGTGCAAAAAGCCTTGTCTGAGAAGAAGAGTTTCTCTAAATAAAACACCATACAATCAGCAGTCTCAGGAGTGCCTCATCATACACACATAAACCTGACAGAGAAAACAGGGGAACGGGTTTAAGAGGAAGAGATCATGTATTTGCACCTTGATTGGTTTAGTGCATTTCTGGCTTCCTCTCTGTAAAGGCAGGAAGTCATTTCTGCTGACATGTATTATACATGTATAGATAAATAAATATATTAAGATATGACCAAGACTTTAATCACAAACTAATACAGCAAAACATACAGGAAGAAATGTTATATGCTAAAAAGAATGCAAGCACCAACAGGCAGCAATAAAGATGTGAAACTCTCATTATCATCTAGTGATACCTTGGGTAAATATTAATTTTTGGGCACAGGCATGTGTAAACATGAAATCAGTGCAGGTGGGCAGTGGGTGAAAATAGATGAACAGTTTGAAAACATCTAAATCAGAATCACTTTATCAGTTAATTGGCACCAGGATTCTTTGATTGTCAAAGACTGTGACCGTGGCCCGCACATCCATTAGGTAAACAACAGCCTGGGGTCCCATGGTCGCCAGGGGGCCCCCTTGTGGCATTATAAAGGCCTACAGGTGCAACAGCACAAAATGTAAAAGGAAAGTGGGAAATAGATGGGAGGGTTTGTGATTATTATATGTCAGTCGCTCACATCACAACTCTCTGAAACAGCTGAGCTAGCTACAGCAAAATAACAGGCAGTGAAGAATCAGCTTCTCAAGAAAATCCTATTGTTGCCTGCAAGTTGCGAAGCAATGTGACCACAACACCTTGTTGTTTTTATTAATTAACAGTTAATGAATGGAAATAGAAATCAATAGTGTAATGAATAGTTTGGTGAAGCCATTTCTATGACTGCACTGATCAGGGCTTTTTGTGTTAATTCTGCTCAGTCTCACGTTGTAAATTGTGACATCATATCACATGTGATACAGCTGCATGTACACTTTCAACAATAAATGTGATTTAAAAAAAACACAAAGAACATTGGAAAGCAGGTCATGACAAATGATATTGACATCCTGTAATATGACATTTCCTTCATATCACGCAGCGTAACAAGTTCTTACCTGAATATAAATGTTTTTACCCTGGGGCCCCATGATCTCATCTAGGGCCTCACTGGTACAAGGGCCAGCCCTGCATGGGTCACAGCCTTTCACTGATCAATTCATCATCAGTGCAGAAGTGAGAATGCAGATGACTGGCTGGCAGCAACAGGTCGCCTTGGATATGTTAATAAATGATTACCATAAAATCGGTTCTCTTTGTGTCACTTTGCATTACATCAACAGCCAGTGGGAGCTGAGTGAGACAGTTCATTAACACAAACAGCAGTTAACTACAGACCTGCTTAAATACAATGTGGATGGGTCTTAAATTGAGTGACATTAATATTAAAGGTACAAGTTGGGTCACATTGGGTCCAGATAAGATTTATAAAAAATTATGGGTAAACTATTGGTTGTGGTACCAAGCTTCACAAAACTGCATACAGTACGTACAGGATCCTGCCTGTTATATGTTCTTTGTTTGGCTGTACTGAATGTATTGTATGATTTTATGGAAGTCTTGAACACTGTTGTGCTGACTAGTCCAAGCCGTATGAATTAATAAATCTAAGCCCTCTGACTGAAAGCTGCTGTGACCACTTAAAGACAGGTCCAAATAAGATACATAATAAATAATACATAAAAAAGCCGAAAAAAGTTCAAATTAACTTTTACCTCTACAACTTAAAAGTCTCCCACTCATATACTGAAAAAGTGACGTGGCTTAAAAAAAAAAAGACCAATTTTAATTTTGGAGCAATAGGGACACCAAGTGGAGAGGATTTGCTATTACAGTTATAAAAAGAGTCACAGTACCATGAGCAGACAGGAGAGAAATGTCAGGCCTCCTGAGGAAAATCAACAATTCTATAATTTAATCTGAAGGCCAGGTACAACAGCATCTGTGGAAAGCAGGGATGGCATGGCTGGAGCTCACACTGCAGGGTCCAAAGATAAGAAGCAGCTTTTAGATATGACTGCTCTGTTTGGACCAGATGCTCAGCAGAGATCTGATAACGGCCATATACTGTAAACATTCATTACAAATTGATGATTTATGAGGAAACTGCGGAATGATCTTTAAATCTTTACCAGGGAGAATTTGATGTTAGTAAATCACTGGCAAAGCCAACAATGTAACGCCAAGTTTCTGTAGTTTAATGAAGAAATTCTCAAACGTCACTTATACGCTAGTGTTGGCACTTACAAACATTTTGCCATCTGATGCCTTTAAAAAGATGAAGCAGACTGGGGGGTTTTTGTGCTGAACATAACATAACCAGCAACATTATCTTGAGTTTTTAACTATAAGTTCATTTTTGCCAGGGCACCCTTGTAAAACTCCCGGCCACCAGTCAACCTAAGCTTCATGTCTTTGGAGTGTGGGAGAAAGCTGGAGCAAACTTACACAAGCAGACCACACAAACTCTGCACAGAAAGGCCCCGGGTCGGCCAGGATTCAAACCAGGAACCTTCTTGCTGTGAGACAACACCACTAACTGCCGCACCGCCCTAGAGCCATGATGAGGATGATGACAAAATTTTGGCATAAATTCTTTTTGACATTTGAGCGATCCAGGTGAAGTCAGGCAAGCCACTGCTATAATTTTGCAGTGAGAAGCTTTGTTGTGGAAAACGGTGGCTCGAGTAGAGGGACCTTTTCTCCTCATGGAGAAGTCTCTTTTTGCTATGCAAATCTTTAGCCTGTTTTAATGGGACCATCTATGACTGTCCAGAAACTATAAACAAACAATTGTGCAGTAAAAAGGCTTTGGCTTTTATTTTTTATTTATTTAACCTTTGTTTAACCCCCGCAAATTGATGTTTGGGGGCCAATGTAGATTAATTTGTGATTAAAGTATTACTTCATTTATTCACCAGTAATAAGGAAAACAGTATGTAAAACAATATGAGGTTGTGTAAATTAAATAGATTTTTTTGAGGAAGTTTGAGATTTCCAATCATACTTCTCCTAGATAATACAAATATTACAGAAAAAGAAAGTTAAAGCATTAGATGGGTTTCAGTAAAGGTGCAACTAGTGATATCTCTTTATATTTTTCAATCAATCTGTCATTTTTCCAATTAATGAATAGCTTAGGGTCAGAAAATGAAATGAAAATGGCTCATACTCCAGGTCCAGGCTCCCAGGGTCTAAGAGGATGAATTCAATTTAGGTTCTTTAGGCTTGTTTAAAAGCTTCCTAAAAAGTATTCTTACATTACCTTATGTCCCATAAACAACTCCATTCATTCACTATGGCACAATAGTAGGGTGACCTTATAGCATTACATCAGAAAGACTTATGCTGAAATAGATCACCACGTTAGTCTCCTGCAGACGTGGACTAAATACTTTTAATCCCATTGACGCAGTAGGAGAGCACACTATGCACAGGGATTAGACAAAAAGCCTGGGGAGGTTATAAATGGACGTAAAGCTTGGAACCAGAAAAAGAATAAGACAGGACACAACAGGTCAAGCCCTGGGACGTGTTGAACAGAGAGATCCAGACAACTCCAGCTGAGGCTGCAGCAGTCCTACCACAGATCCAACGCTTAACCTCGCAGTACAGCTTGTGGATTTTGCCATCAGAATCAGACATCCAAGCATCGCCTGTACCCATGGAGCATGTGGCCCAGACAGTGACCGCTTCTGCAGCCTTTGACAGGAAAGCCCTGCGAGCAACCCCTAGAGGAGCCTTGTCTCATTTTGTGGGGAGCTCAATCATGATCCTGTCTTCGTTTATAGTTTCCACTTTAGCTATGAACTGTGGGAAGAAGAGCCAAGAATCGAGACACAAACCCAATGGGAACTAGCAGCTGCAGACAGATGGATATTTCTTTATATTTAGTTAACCACTTAGGTAGGGCAAGTCAATTAAGATTCTATTTTTATGATATGATAGATGCCCCTTCACAGTCAGCTGCCTTTTGTGTTCCCGTAGCAAAATGCAACATGTTACGTCATGGCTGAAGTTCCTTTTGTGTTCCTGGAGAAAAAGCCTCAGAAGAAGATAATGCTCATATGGGATGCAAGATGAACCAACAGCAGAAGAAGAACATGGACTACTGTGACAACGCAGGAGACAAGAGTCTGGCAACCATCTCAGAATTAATCTATGCAATGACAAACATGCTTTGTGTGACTAATAAAGAGGAGAACAGTTTGCAGAAATACCATCAACGCTCATCCTCCATTTTTACCTCATACTTGAAGTCAGTATTCTCTATATGCAAGATGTTTACTGGGTAAAAACAAACCAGACATAACATTAGTTTACCTACAAGGGCTGAAGAACGAATCTCAGTACGTCCTAAAATGACGCTGGATTATCATTACTGAAAACGGTCAAGTACTAAAGACTAACTCACTGCTTACTTTTTGATAAAATCTTTTTTTGATTTGATTAATTAATCATATAACCCTAAGTTATATTCAAACAATTATTTCTGCTTCTTTTATGGACAAAATGTAATATTTGAGAATGTAAGCTTCTTTTGTTAAATGAAAAAAACATTTTATAGTAATTGTACTTCCTTTATGTAAGGTAAAGCAAAAAGTATTGGTGTGGTACTGCTATCATATAATACCCAGTCTGATTCCCTATAAGAAGAACATATAAATGACAGTCTATGTACACTGCTAAAGCCTAAAGCATGTGATATATATACATATATATACATACTGAAGAACAGATCCTGACAAATAAACAAAAATAAAATGAGTATGTAGCAGGGATTTGAGACAGCTTTCAGATTCAGTGTCTGTGGAACAAACTGTGTTGAGGTTTCCATTCTGCACTTGTCAAATTCTGATGGATATTTTGCACTTGTTAGCTGCTTGTGCTGGTGACCCACTATGGTGCAACTGAAACGGGTGATGGCTTTTCAAACCTGTGTAAACCGTCATGTTGCCATCAGAGGGCAGTATGGTCATTTGCTTCTTTCCAAGTTGTGAGTAGAATTTAAAAAAAAAGGGGTTCTTACAAAAGCAAAATGTGTTTTTAAAGTTTTTTTTAATGTATAAACATGGATGCAAACAGGACAAAAATGGACAGACTGTTCCAAGTTTGCACTGGTGATCACCTCTGCAGTATTTGAGTCCATCCCAGTGACAAAAGCTAAACTATTTGGTTGTATATGAAGAGCTCCCAAAGAGCTCATCATACTGTGTGTGTAAGCACATCCTTTAGTGTGTCTTCAAAGTGTGTTGAGGCTCCTCAACCTCCGCTCAGTGAAGAACCGGTGTGTCTTGTGGGTCTGGCTTTGGTCATTACCCCCCGCTGAAGCACTGAAGTATGACAGCATAGACTTGTTGTTCTGCCGCTGTGCCGCCTTCTCCCCATCCTCCTCATCATCATCCCTGAAGACAGATGTAACAAAACAAGATTTACACTCTGGTTAGTGCTCATCTCCTAAGGTCATATAATTTACACAGACATTTAAGCACGAAAGGGAGTCTGGTTTTCACTCTAACACATGCAAGCATTCTTATCAACAAAACACACAACAAAGCAATTTTCAAAAGTAGTCTGTCAGGTTTGGGGGCTTCCATGGACTCTGGAAAAAAGCTGGAAACCATTTTAATGCTTTCTGAAAAGTACTATTTACCAAATACCCATAATTATCTCAGAGCAGAATTATCAAGGGCACAGAAGTTACTTACCAGTGGACAGGAACCGCTTTGCTGTCCATCAGGGTTTGGGCAGTGCTCCAGCTGAAGCGAACAAACTGAGGGTAACCAAAGACCGGGTCCAGGTACTTCAACAGCCACGCTTTAGTCTTGGGGTCTGAAAACACAGGAAAAAAAGTTAGTGTGTGTCACTTTAAAACTACGCAGAGTTTAGTCTTGTTTAGGTACAGTACTGGTAAAAGCGACCAAAGTATCAGGGTTTTTTAACAGCTGCCTGGTAGTAATGTAAGGGCACTCAAATTCAGATTTTATTCATAACATTTAACACAATGGCTGTTAATTGCTTCTGTTACCATTTGGGTATCCTGAGCCATAATCTGGATCCACGTCTCCCAGGTCCTCATTAAATTTCCATCCTTTTACAACACGATCCCTGGCAACCTGAAAATAATCACATCATAAACAAAGCCATCAACCAAATCTCAAAAGGTCTGGACACTTAAGTTTTCAACAGCACCAATGTGCAGTCCATGATTGTAGATAAAGGTCACAGGACTAACAAAAAAGTCTATAAAACGTCTTTATTAGCAATGAATTCACTTTGTATTACATGTTGCTTCTCATAAATTTCCTTCTTTCATGTAAAAGAACATGTGATACTGAACAAACATTTGTTATACAATTCTCACAATTCATAAGATTGCAACCTTTCAGTAATGACAGAGAAATTAGGGAAACTCAAAGTAAATGCACTTCTGAACAAGTTAAAGACTGCACAGCGGTGAGATTTAGAACAAGAGGAAAGACAGGCAGCTAATAATTAAGGAAGCAAAAGAAGATAAAGAAAGAAGCTCAGGTAGCATCTTGATGGTCTTCACTAACCTTTGCACAGATACTGGCTGCGCTGACGATGGGAAAGAGGGAGTCCGCTTTTGGCTTAACAGTCACCTCGATCCCCGGGAACCGCTGAGAGAGTTTCTCCTGATACTTCTCTGCTGGGCCAACTGTATCCACATAAACCTGCAGAAGGTGATACAGTTGGAAGAGGACAGACCACGGCAGACAAAAGAAAAGGAGGATGAGGACAAATAAGAAAACACAGAGACAATGAGAGGTTAGATCATCGCAAAATAAAGGACTTATCATCTAATCTGCTTTATATTATCTCAAAAATATCACCAGAGTTTGGCCATTTCCCTCTCTGAGTGACACAGCTACTCTAATGCTCTCTGCTGTACAAAAAAAAAAAAAAAAAAATCGGCAAGTTAGAACTGGTTCAGAACTCTGCTGCCTGGGCGCTGACCAGCACCAGAAGGAGAGAACACATTACAGCGCAATGTGTCCTTAAAGACACAGCAGGACATAACACCTACTCAACATTAGAAAATATAAGATCTTTATATTCATATTCATGTAAATCACTTGTTTACCTCTTTGAGCTGTACCCCATTGTCCAAGGCATACTGCACAAGAGCAATAGCTGTATCATGTGAAAGGGCGTTCAGGTTGTATTTAGTCCTTAAATCAAAAGCAAACATGTTATTGTGCATGTATTTATGTAACAGTCTTCTGTGTGCATGGTGCTCTGTGAGAAATACCTCTGTAACATGCTGGTGGAGATGGTGTTCGGTGAAAGAATCTGCAGTGCCCAGCCCACATAATTTCTAGATTCATCCAGTTTTTGGAAAAGCCTCTCCCTTTCTGCCTCTGTTAGGGTCTTTGAATCTGACAAGGGGATGACACAATGTATCAATTTAAGAATGCAGTGAGAGATTTTACTTTCCACTGTGCCTAAGAGTAAGTTATGCATTATTAAATATGTATAACGATTGGCAAGTTGCATCTTTTATTTATAACTGTTTAACTGAGAAAATGGTGAACAAGCTAAATACCAAATATATAATTTTCCCAAGGTTTTGTTTGTTTGAAGATGAACAAGCTAAGAAAGGCTGCAAACTTCCACCCCCCCAAATTGCCATCTGCACAGATGCAGGACAAATCGATTACCTGCCACTTTCAACTCCTTCAGTTTTTCCTTTCTGGAAACTGGACAGAAACATATTCCATATACCATGGGCCCTGGATCACAAAACACAACCAGTATAAGTATATACATATGCCACATGCCTTAAAGTGCAGTCACTGCTAGAACAACCTAACAGCGTGGCAGACCTGTAAACAAAATCATTATCTCAATGATAAATTATGAATGACTGCAACAGAAAATGTAAAGCTGTCTTAGGTGTCTTATTAAAACACTGCAAGGTTTATACTATGGAAATATTCTTTTTTCCTTTTTCAAAATGAACTAACAGCATACCCAGCACAGGCCCTCTTCCTGCCTCGTCAATGCCCAAACAGCAGTCCTCTGTCCTGCAGACATCAGGGATCTGAGAAGCCAGGCGGCAGCTGACAGAGTTGTCCATTTCAAAGGAACTGAGATCCATGACCACTGGCTGAGAGGACAACTGACACAAATTAGATACTGAAAAGACAGTTGTACACCAAATTTTGGCCACTATCTGGGCAAGTTACATAGGTTGTTTTTTTTTTGTTTTTAAAGCCAAAAGAATTTAATACAGCCACTACAGCAAACTGCCAACTCTTAACTGTTAATATTCTTTGGACTTGTGTAGCAGCCAGTGACAAAGGAAACAAATAAAGGAATAGGAGAAAGAATGGAGTTTGCTAAATACTACCAAGTTCTGAATGCAAATGCCATACACTAAGTCAAGAATACTCAAAATTCAGCATGAACTACATCACAAGATGGAATTTTTGGAACAGCCTTCACAGTCCCCCGACTTGAACAACACTGGAAAAAAACGAGGTTGTTATTAAGTAAATTGCTAGTTTAGTACTGACCCCAGTATTTTTGTATATAGTAAGTCATCATAAAAATAAAACATAAGTGCTTGAGAATTTGAAGAAACGCCTGTGTTTGTTTGTGTCCGACAAGCGATGCATTTACTATGCGCTTCAAAAATCTACAAAACATGTAGTTTGTCCAGTTTTTGCAGTCATCTGTAACGATACACATCGTGGGCACTAAAACAAGCTTACTGTATTGCGTTTGGAGCATAAACGTACACTTAATAACCTCTCCGGACAAACTGTCATATTAGTTGTACAGATGGCAGAAACACACATGTACGGTAGTTAGCTCTTTACTCTGTTATTATGTTGTAAACGCACTCAAACGTTAGCTAAGTTAAATGCTACAGGCCATCGACACGATTAAAACTACTTAATCTGACCTTTTGAAACCAGAGTATACATATGTTTTACGTTTAAATTACAAGTTCGGGTTGTTCCGAGATAACATTTAAGTAGCAAAAATGATAAACTTACCTAAAATTTACTCTTACCCTTTTCAACTATGACAACACTCTTCCTAGTTTTGTTGGATTTGGCGCGCCTATAATGACGTCACACATTAATGTTTCTTCTTCTTCTTCTTCTTCTTCTTCTTCTTCTTCTTCTTCTTCTTCTTCTTCTTCTTCTTCTTCTTCTTCTTCTTCTTCTTCTTCCCCGTTTTGCCTTCTTATTATGTTTTATGGCCGCTGGCAAATAAGGTTAAGCTGCATTACCGCCACCAACTGGTATGGAGTTGAGGGATCGGAAATGTAACTTTTGCTAATTCTAATAAAAACATTTTTTAAGGTAAATGGAAGAATGTATTTCTCATACTGGAACAAAACAGATAACACTTTTCTCCAGCGCTTCTTTGAAAAAATTATATAAATCAAAGTTTATCTTTATGTCACTAGGCTATGAGGCCACTTCTCTCATCATTGCATTGTAAAGTATAACGTTTCTTATCGTTTACAAAATTCCCATCTTCCCATAGCTCATTATCTTCCAAGTTCAAGCTGGTATTTTGTACTGTTTAATCTTGTATGCCAAAACTCTAGCCTGGGTAACATCCAGGACCTCGTGCCAACTTTTCTTTAAATTTCCATCTTCCATCTTCCTTTTCTCTCTTGTTTATACAGATTTTGCCACCTTTTTTCAGCATATGCTTATGATCTTTACATTTATGACAGTGTAAATTTTAGCTTGATGTTTTTTTTCTGTTTTACTACATTTATGGCAGTGTAAATTTTAGCTTGATGTTTTTTCAGTTTTAAAATAAATGTTGTGGAGTAAAAAGTATAACAAAAACTTTGTCAATGAAATGATGAGAAGTAGTAAAAAAATTGATAGTTCATACTGTGTTTGTTTATCAGGAACAATACACATTAATCAGTAGTAACCAAAATGTAGATTTGCCAGTTTTTATCAAGACTTGCCAGTTTTCATCTACTGCCCTTTGACTAAAATGTCAATTTGCTGCAAAGATGAAGTGTTTCATAGAGTCACACCATATTGTACATTACAAATACGACAGAAAACCAATATGGCCAGATCCACCCAGTTTAGGGCCTCAGGGCAAAAACATTTGATAACACCCTCAGTGATGCCCTCTGTATTTAATTTGGTTGAATACAAATTTATTGGGCACCATCCACTATGTTAATGTTTACAAGATAGGTGATTATACAGGCTCAATGATGATAAGGCCCTTAAGGCCCTTATCATTTCAGTTTGTCATCAGTGGTTGTGTATCTTACTTAAAACAAGTTATCATGGTTTTCATTGCTAGAACGAGGCTGGTTTTATTTTTCCTCTCAAAACTGATCTACAACTAAGCCTGCAAAATATCGCCACATCTGTAGTGATCTTTGTTTTGCAATGTCCTCCAACACAATGTCAGTACCAGAACTTGACATTTTGGTTTGGATGCCATCTAAATGGGCTTCAACTGCAGCTGAATGCAGAGACAGGGAGGGAGCCTCAGGTGGAGAGGAGAGGGCAGAGTGAAAGGAAAGCTGTGTACAAAAGTCTAAGTGTACGCTGGTTACTGAGCTGAAATTGGCCTTGCCTCTGGTGCTTTACACCCACCCCTTCTCTCTCTTTCTGTCCCTCTCCCTCACTGAATGGCTCTCTTTGTTTTTCTCAGTAGCACGCAGTCCCCAGCCGATTAAATGTGGGGAATTAGTAGTCAATTTTAGCCTACAAACACACTAAACAGCTTAACTCGATGGAGCTCTGATTGTGTTATTATTACAGTTCACACATCAGCAGTGTGTTTTTAAATGTACTGTTTTCACCCAGCACTTACTAACTGCACCGCATGTTATCTCTGGACCATTGCTGCCACATACAATAACGCTCTAACACAGAATGTTTATAAATAAATTGATTTAATAAATGACAACAATAATATTTCAACATTGCTTTTTTGTAAGGAAGCAAAATGCTCAAGTGAATGTATAACAAACACTTTACAAAACTACCCAGAATTATACAAATGGAAGAAGCAAAGGTGTGACACACAATGCATTATTACTTACATAAAAATAACTACATGGTAAGAGGGTCAGTATAAATCTATAAAGTATGTATCACACGATAATGGTGAAGCCTGTGGTAATAACCATTTGTTCACATTGCTGAAGAGGAAGAGGGCGACTTGGACACAACAGGAAAAAAAAAGATAAAGTTGAAAACATGTTTTTGGCCTTCATGCAGTGCAGAACAGTCGTACATGTGATTCTAATCTTTATGTAGGACTCAAAGTTGACCAATTATCTCGGGAGATTTGGCACTTAGAAAGCAAAAAGACGACTTAGGTTGAGGTTTAATGTTCTGAAATTCTGATTACCTTCAGATGATCAGGTATTCATGGTTTTATTCCTCCTCTGCTATTGGCACAAAAAGAATAGAGTTGAGGTAAGTGTCCAGGGCCGGGAAATACCTTGAAACATATCTTTAAAACTCACTTCCCTCGCTTTTTCCTATTTTTCCCCTTTAATTTTTTATTGTTCAGTTCAGTGAAGTCAGCCTAAAGAAAGGACAGGAATAAAGACTGAGTTATCTACAAAGAAACAAGGTTTTCTGGCCACAAGAAAAGCAACCTGGGGAACATCTTGTTGAAACAAAACATACTTTTTCCCAAAGTAGTGTTGCAGGTGTATAAGTGTAATATCAAATTTGTCACAATAAAGGTACACCCTATGATATCAACACCAACAATAAACATACTATTCATATAAAATAACACAATAACATCAAGAACATCCTTTAGTTTGGTTAATAAAATCTGATAATGTAGCTCCAAACCCATCACTTCTGGGTCAAATCAGAGTCACTCTTCAGCATCTGTCCACTCTCATCTGTTGCTTGAATATAGTCACTGTACATCCCAACTCATATATTTATGATGGCACACATGTGTTAAGATTTGTTTGTTTTTTGATTGGCCGATGACCCATGATTCACCCTTTATATGGTGCGAGTTTGTGGCTGATTTTTTTATCTTTAAGACTCCTGTAGACGCATCTTGCTTTATATTGGATAAAAAAAAGTACAAACGTCTAATATAACATCAAAATGGCACATACACTCAATCACATGCTCACAGTTTTGCACACACACATGCACACACATACACGTTTCCCTCTGCTCAGCTGGTCTCCTTAAGGTCTTGTGAGTGTGGTGTAAACAGGCTGCTCCCAATGTGTGGGGCTGTGAGAGGGGGCCACGCTGGAGGGGTCTCCTATGGTAGTGTACAGAGGCCTCTGTGTAGGACCCATGTAAGAAAAGGCTGAGTACAGCCCAGGAGCTTGGCTGGAGTGGGCATAGTATGCCCCGGGGGCCTGGTGCTCTCCATACTCAAACTGAGCCCTGGAAGCCAGCGAGGGAAAAGCAGAGCCGTAGTGAGGGAGGCTGAGTGAGGTGTAGGTGACATGGGCGCCTGAGGATGGAGAAGATGAGGCATCGGCATAGTGGCTCACAGATGCAGACTCGCTCTTGATCTGGGCCTTGGAGGGGTCAGAAGACGACGGAGAGGGCTGAGGTTGTTGCTGCTGTTTGGAGAGCCAGGCAGAGTGCCCGCTAGCAGCGGCCAGAGCATAGGCATAAGACGAGGCAGAGGATCCAGCTGCAGGGGCCCCGGTTCCGTTCTGCGGGTGGCCATTTGGAGGAAGGTACTGGTCAAACTCGTTTACATCAAATGGCTCGATGTTGGACATCACCTCATGGCTGATCTCGCCAATGTCCATGGTGCCAAAGTCGATGTGGGGTTTAGTGCCTGATGATGACTGACCACCAGCTGACCCTTCAGCTCCCAACCCAAGGGCTCCCCTGGACCCCCCTGTTGCTCCAGCTGCTCCTGCCGCCCCTTCCCTCTTGGCATCTGACAGTTTCCCAGATTGGAGCTCTGTCTTTGGGGTGGTGGGGGGCGTAGGTGGGCTGTGACCCTGACCTAAATGAGAGACATGGTCAACATGGTCAGGTAAACCTTGACAGCAGATGTAACAAAGGGTTTTTCTTTGTCTCCTTTTGAAATGTGGCACAATTTTGTCAATTTATTTTCTCAAATAATATATTGGCTTTTCTGGTTGAAATTACAGCTTCAAATACTGTGTCAAGGCCCAGAATCTTTGGACCACCTACCAGCAGAATGGTGGTGGTGATGGTGGTGGTGCAGGTCACCCAGAGGAGACCCTGCCCCACCGTTGTGCTCCAGATGCAGGGTCTTGTAGTGTGACTGGGAGTGGCTGGCCTCCCCTTCCCCCTGGCTGTCGGACTCATTAGCAGGCGTTAGTTTGCCGTTTTTGCGTCTCCGGGGCTGGTACTTGTACTCTGGGTAGTCCTTCTTGTGTTGTTTCCTCAGCCTCTCCGCCTCCTCTATGAATGGCCTCTTCTCGTTCTCATTCAGCAACCTGGGCAGGAAAAAACAAGGGCTGATTTATTCTTCTAAGTTAATATGAATATATTTCCAAAGAATCCAAAGAATGTGTTAAAATGTTCAATATCACTGTAATTAATACTGTGTGTAATGGATAAATACAGTGATATCTGAAGAAAACTGCATTTGGATGGTATAAATCTTTGAGTACACGTTATACAACATCTACCACATTTATGCTACACAAGATAAAACGCTACGTCTATTTTTTTGTTTCCCTTGTATGTTCTTTGTTAACAATTTGAGCTTATAATTTGTCCACCTTAACACTTAAGTTCAATTTATAGACCCCTTCTTATACTTTATGCACGAACAGGAAACGTGCCGGTGTATGGCCGCACTGTTCTTCTCTGTGACACCTTCTCCATACAAACCTCCAAAGTTTGCCCAGGGTCTTGCTGAGCTCCGCGTTGTGCAGATGGGGGTACTGGTCGGCCAATTTCCTCCTCGCCGCTTGCGCCCACACCATGAAGGCATTCATGGGCCTCTTGACGTGGGGTTTAGTTTTGTTTCCGCTGTTTATGCGCACCGGCATGGGCACAAGTGTCCAGTCATATCCGTCCAGCACTTGACTAACCGCCTCCCTGATGCCGATCGGGAAACGATCGTCCTCCTCCTCTGATTTGGCTCTGGATCTCCCTCCATCCTCACCGCTGCCATCCGCAACGCAAAGCGCGGTCAGCTGCTGCGGCGGACCACTTAGGGGGGAGTCCTGGCCGTGCGGCGCACCAGACTGGGTTGGCGACAGTGAGTGACCATCATCTGACCCTCCGGGACTCAGCTCCGCCTCGGACAGGCTGTGTTCCTCGCCAGACATTTTTAAAAAAAACTTTTGGCTAATGAAAATACAAATGCAAAATGTGTTTCGGAGAGAGTCACCACTTTTCAGTGTAGTTAAACCGTTTAGATTAAGGCTGGAGTCTACAGGGATCCCAATTATTGCTGACTTTTCTCAGGAAAAGCCATGCTGCTGCGTAAAAGTGTCCAAATCCCCTCCACCGTTGGCTGGAAATCCTTTTTAGCAAAGGCGGCTACACCTGAAATTATTAAAAAATAGAAAAAAAAATCTAAAAAGTAAAAGAGAAACTAATTATAATTCAGTTTCGCTGTGATTGAAACATGTCTTTGTTTACTTCAATTAAACAAGTTAAGAAATTTAACAGATTTAATGTCATCATCTAACGTCCACATTGGTATCTCTAGCCAGTAAGCCAATAATAATATGCAATCTGGATGAAAAATAATATTCTGTTGATTAAATATTTTATATCAAAGCCAAAAAAAGACGAGTTGGCACATAAGTACTGCTATCAAATATTCCTTGCTATCTTAGACATTTTGTTTTAAAAAAATGACATAACTTACCAGTGTAGATGTCCGGTGGTTCAACATGGGAGTGTGTGTGGCTGACTGTAGAGCCGATGAATGGCTGCTCTGTGTGGAAACACCGGAGCTTAAAGAGCGCCTTGTCACAGGGACCGGGAGAAAAAAGTGATTGAAAGTGGAAATATTCTCAGAGAGGCAGCATTCCAACACACAGTCAGCCCCGCCCCCGGGGCAACACGCTGCGATCTTATTGGTCCTCTAATTATCCTCCTGTCCTCTGATTGGTCCTGAGCAATACACCGTTAATGCCCGTCTGTCCATCACTGCAAGATTTCCAGCAGAGAAGAGGTGAGATTTTACACCGCGGCGGCTTAAATGACTCCACAGTGCTCCCATTTATAGCAGGAGAAGGCCAGCTCTGTTGGACATGTTGACATGTTATATCAAACAAATAAACAATCCTGAGGAGAGTTATTGCCTCGTGTGGTTAAAAAAAAAATCAGCCGTGGATTGTGAAGTTCGGCTCGGATTTAACTGGATTCCGTTTGAAATAAAGACACACTCTTTATGGCAATAAAAAAACACGTGTAAAACTTATCAGACTGAAAAGTGCATTCGAACTTATGATTTTCAAAAGGAAAACATATAAAGGATAAATCACGCGTGGGGCTATATTTTGGTTAATAATTAATGCCATCAAAATAGGACCGAGCTGCATCAGTGTCCGCAGCGCATAAAATCATATTTTAACCCATTATTATTGCTTAAAATTGATCGAAAAGCGTATCTAAGACTGTTGTACATGTACAGTTGCTGCATTCACTCCATACCTAAATGAATCTGATAACAATTATACCTAAAATTGTAATCAGGCTGTTTTCTGAATAAAAACTGGTCGATATGAATGACGGATACATGCAGGTTGGAGATAAAAAAAAGAACAAGATAAGGGCAGAGTGGTTCGTCCAGACTGACCAACAGTGAACTAATATCAGACTTGTTTTGTGCGTAAAGCAAAACTGGGATGGTCGGTAGGCCCAAGTTAGTGTCAGTATGATGGGAAGCAAGAGACTGATGCGCACTCGGTCACACACACAGTTAGCCACACAACACAAAATGGAAGCAACAATAACCCCTGTGTGTCCGATGCCTCTCATGTTGAGGCTGCCTCTCAGTTTTCTCCCTCTCTCTCTCTCCTCTCTCTTTGCTCTCTTTGTCTCCATCTCAGGTGAATTGTAGCCATGTGATCAAACGCCCGAGCTCTATCCATTAACCCTCGTAAATGAAAAAAGGGGGAACAAAAAGCAGTTTTGTGCTGCAAACATGGAAAAAATTGATAACAGAGAGCTATGTGTGCGTCTTTCTGCCCTTATGTCCGAGCATAGACACAAGTCTCGCACACAGTGAAAATTCTCTGCGGCAGACAGGACACATGGATCTGTTTCTCCCACTCCGACACTTTTCTATCTAAATACTCTCTGCAGCGCCTGGATTTGGGCCTCGGAGGTGCTGATGGTAGGAGCCTGTGTTTGGGGATGAGGGGGTGATGGGTTGGTGGTGGTGACTGTGGGCATGTTGCACCCCACCGACCAACCGGTAACTCTGGGATCCTGTGTGAGGCCTCCGGGGCTTGTGCAGTGAGTGTTTTTGTCTACATGAAGGGATTGTTGCTGTATTTTGCAGGGAACTGTTTAAACCGTGCGTGTTGTTTCCCGGGTTGTTCCGTAGGTTTGTGCAGAGCAGAAACGTGGAGGAAGCTGCGGTTTATACGGAGAGTGTTTAGTTAGTGCAGCTGGATGAGCAGGGCCCCCCAGGGAGTCGCTCTGTCAGGGCGACGTGGTTTTGTCGATCTTGCATGAAAACATGCATCGCAAATGTTTATATTTTAAACTTTAGACTAACCTCAGGGTGACGTGTGTCTTCTTAGGTATCTATGAACCTCTTGTTTGTTTGTTTAGTTGGTTAGTTTTGTTTGATTTACAATGTAGTGACTTGTTCTTGACATTTTTTCCCTGTCCCCATTGAGTCTGCATGATGCCAAATTGCGGCCACTACACAATTTTTATTTACCGTATTTATAATGATCCTGTAACAGTTTCACTTCCTTCAAAGTGGTAATTTATTCTTAGATTGACAGAGGTTCTGTTTCATTCGAAGCTGATGATATTCAAAATAAAAACTTATAAAAATAAAGTTTTTTAAAAAGTGTCAGAATTAGCTGTTTCATCCAGGGAGCCATTGTAAAAGAGGTTTCTAACCTCACCGTGTTTTTACTGACAAAAGATAGGTTAAATAAAAGACAGGTTAAATTAAAAAAAATCAAATATATGTTTATATTGAAAAAATATACAGGCTATTGAAACGGAAGCAAACACATAATACTGCGTCTGTTCATAATCTGTAGGATAAACCCGCTTCTCTTTTTCCATTGTGTGTTATCAAATTAATTTATTCCTCCATTTTTTTATTGAAAGTTTTTCGCCATCCACTAAACGCAAAAATCAAAACCGCATCTATTACACCTTGACATCTTTTAGACGTGTGTGTAGGTGAATTACAATCTGTGATAATCCAACAAGGAAAGCGTATTTACAATAGGTCCATATATGTGTAATGTTCAATTAAATCCTATCAATTATTTTTGGAAATGTATTGTCATTTTTTTCCCATTCATGCCTTTTTCTTAGCCCATGGTTTGTTATTACGCGTATCTGCAACACTTGTAGTATTTTCATTACAAAGACTTACTGTATGTGTAACAAAGTGACACATGCTTCTCTTTAGAAAAGCTTCAGGCGTTCCTATTATTTGCATTTCTAATCAATTGCTCTGTTAATCAATTGTGTTTTTGTCTTGTCGATGTTCAAGGGAAGTCATTTTAGAAACATTATGAACTTCGATCTTCGACACCTGTTGTGTCCGAGGTGACGCTTCAGAAAATAAGAGACCCCTTCAGTCTAAAACACCGAGTTCAGGATACCGCCTCTCAGATTCGTTACAAAAGGACAAGTAGCTAATTTTAACTAATAAACAAATTTATGTCCTAATAAAAACTTTAACGTTTTCCTCCCTCAAAGAGTTTAAAAATGACATGTTTGTCTTGACCAGGACACTTTAGTAAAAGAGATTTTTAATCTTTATGAGGCTCTCCTGGTAGGATAAAGGTAAAATAAAATGTTATATGACATGCAGAATGGTGTTTTGCACATATTTACAGTACAATCGTTGAATGGGCTTTAGAAGCTTTAAAAAGCTTTTATTCATCACTGAATGTTTAAATTTGTACTGGCTTTAGCTTGATGATCAAAATCTCAGTGTCATAAATGTCTCCCAGTTTATCCTTTGTTAAAAATATGTAGCCAGGTTGTTTTGAGTAAAATATTAACTCTTGAATATTTCACCTGACACCTCAGTCTCATCACCTGTTCGCAATGATTCATTTCACATGTACAGATAAAACAAAAATGAGAGAACAGGAACCTCACACTTTTCCTCCAACCTAAGCCTACCATGCCTTTTCAGACATTTTTTAATTCTCCTGGGCCTTGGGGTAAATGCAGCTTGATAGAAAATAAAGCTCACATGGTGGCATCGCTGCTAACCTGTCATGTGACTTCAGCAATGGACCTCTGCATGACTGTATGCAGCAGTGTGTCAAAAGAACCCTGGGTCCTACGGGGGGAGATGATGGTAGGACAAGGTCTCATGATCAGCAGCGAGATCAAGGATCATGATTGGGTGGGGAGGGGCGGGGGTCAAAAGGTCAGACTTCAGGTGCACACTCAGACACAGGCAGCCTTTTTTTTTTTTTCATGTGTGATCAGAATGACATGGAGTCATCTTGTGGTACATTTATTTCTGAACGTATTTATTTCTAAATGTTTTTCATGTTGAAAATTAAATGATCATGTGGCACGATGACAAAAAAAGTAGGAGAGGAAAGAAAGAAAGACAGAGAGAGAGAAAGTGCCCTTTTGCTTTGGCCCCAATACTCCAACAACTCCCAGGGGAAATTCCTGAAATCTGACGATGGATGGAGAGAAAAGCCAAGAGAGAGAAATCCAGAGATGCAGATAGTGTGAGACACAGTGTAAGAGGGATGCAGATAAGAGAAACATGCACAGCGGTCAAATATTCACGTGCTGGGTCACATTCTGCATGAAGCCGACGTATAATTGGTGGAAAACATCCATTCCCACGTCAATAGGCGCACTGGGCCTGAAATGAATGGCGTCATTTGTTCCAAATGATGATGGACTCCACAAAAGGATCTGAAATTATATATTAGAAATGGCAAAGATTAGCACAGAGGCATACTGTCCTCTGTCGTAGCTTCAAATTTCATCTGCAAGGTTAAACATGTCTGTTTAAATGAGTTTGTCATGCTTTGGCTTTTCTCTGCATTTTCTTGGTTAGTGAAAGACTGTACAAAATGAATAAGTGCCATTTCCTTGTAGAGTTTGTGTGAAGGACAGTTGAGGTCAGTGTTTTGCCTGGGGAATTCCAACTCTGAAGCTGTCATCAATATAAGTGAGCTTCATGTGACTCCGTTGTTTTGACTCAGACTTTCACACTGTAAGTCTCATCAGGAACGTCAGCTCAGATAAAAAGGGTGAAAACATCTCCACCACCCCAGAGGTTTCACAGTGTGAATCAGACAGACAGTACATGAGGACATGGATGTCATCTTAAGTTTTTATGTGCATGTGGATCAAAAAAACTTATAAAAAACAAGGGTCAGACTAACAGGCTGTAAACTAAAGTTATTTACCTGCTGTTGGAAATGAGAGTAGCTCAAATTCTAACAATAAGGTTGAAGTAATGCTCGGAACAAACACTACAATTCATCACACCGGGTGCTGCAGGTGTTTTTGGATTTGTCACTTGATTTATTCTGCACACTGTGTAAGTGGTGATGCTGTGACATGCCATCCATGGGGATGAATAAAAAATGATTCTGCTATCTGACCTCTGTCACTCCTCGTTCGCCCATTTTCACCCAGTGAATTAGTGCAGCTGCGCCACCCTTAAATGGGTGCCCCTCTTTTTTCTCTGGAAGTGTATGTGACCGACTATGAATCCTCTCTTTGTGCTCCATCTGCACGGTTTCCCCCCTCTATAGTTTCTTGCCTTCTTCATCTTTTTTATTTGGGAAAGAGGGGCTTCGGTTGCGATGGTGGCAGCACTGGTGAGGTGGTGGCGGTGGTAGCGATGGTGGTGGTGGCAGGGAGGAGGAGTGGAGGAGCGGGTAACTTGTTGGACCACATTCCTGTGCAGCTGTGGAGGCTGGTGCAGGGTAGGGGGTGGAGGGCAGAGCAGGATCATCATTGCATCGGAGGGCATCATGAATGGCCTATTGTTCGGTGCTTTGCTGTGTCTGCATCTCTTTGCCACAACTTCAGCCTGACTGAGAGAAATGGAGGAAAATAAAATGAACAACGGAGATAAAGACAGAAATTGAGAGCTGATTGCAGCACTGATGAGAACAAGAGATGAGAATCATGTGGTGAAAAAAGAGACCAGGGGTGATAAAACAAAAGCAGACTTTGCATTTGTGCTTCTGACTCAGATGCAGGATGATGTTGAAACTCAGAGTGTGATGGTGATGATGAAGATGGGGACGACGGGTTCAGCGACAATGGTGGCATTCATATTGTGCCTCTATGATGGTTTTGCCCCTCAGTCATAAGTGCCAGCATGCTGTTTAGTCATGCATATATGTTGGTTGTTAGCTACACTTTAAATTCCTCCCTGCAGTGGTGCAAAGACAAAAGCAGCAGTTGAAAATGTTGTCTGTCTTAAATGTATAGAATTTGATCCCAATGACACCATTTTATACCATATGTCATTCAACATACAGCTCTCATATACATAAGAAATGGTGCTGGTGGAACCGCTGTCATTGTGCATGTTTAGATAATCCTGATAGTTCTGAAAGCAGCTTTTACTTTTTTTGTCTTATAACTTCTGTGATTGTCCTTGTCACTGAATAAAATAAACAAAATAAAGTAAAGCACAAAGTGGATAAGCACAGTAAAATAAAAAGCAGCTTAGGGCCCAGTGGACCAGGTGAAAGCTCAGGTTGGTCAGTCTTTCTGCGCCCCAGTAAGAGTTTTAATAAGATGCTGTAGATGACTTCATTTAGACCTACATTATAGCATAACTCAAACACAACACACACAGTGCACACATACACAGATACCTTCTCTAGATTGAAATTTGGGTATATTATGAACTCGTTAACATTATATGGACACAAAATGATATCACAAAAAGTGAATTAAGTTTTTAAATAATAGATTCCTGTTTATTTCTTTCTTATTGTGTCACTTGTATAAAGTCTTTGATAGAAAACATCGACACCAGAGTAAACACCAGATTAGACAACTAAACAACCTTTTAAAACTGTTGTTTGTGAATATTTGTGCATTTTCTGTGTCACTCTGGAAGCCTTAATCAGCCTGGAAGCTAAATCATTGTGTTTTATTTGGTTTTGTCTTGATCTTCTAACTTTTATTTTGTGAGTTGAATGCTTAACGCCCCTGCTTTGTGTCTTTTACCGTAAACCATGTTTTCTCTGTTCGTCCTCCGGTAAAGCACATTATAGCTTTTATTATAAATAAGTGACACAGAGGCAATCTGTCAGTCAGTTACTTTTCTACCAAAAGAACTTATTAGGAGCACTTTGAGTACAAGATTACATTTGACCTGCTAACCACTCCTCAAAGTGAAATACTAAAAAAACTCAGACGCAACACGTGCTATCTGCTGTGATATTACGTGTGTAATGTTAATGGATCTAAAACCCCAATTAAAGTGATATTTTTCAGGAAAACAGAAACATCTGTGTTTTCATTTAAAACCATAACTGGAAGTGTCACCAGCGACAATAAGCCAAACATGGATTTGTTAAAAATTTTAAAGACAAAGAGAAACCAAAGGAGAAAAAAAGAGAAAGTATCACAGCCGTTCCAATCATGAATTCTTCTCAGAACATTTAATTAGCCCGTGTGAACGAAGGAGAACGAGAGAGAGAGAGAGAAAGAGAGAGGGGAGGCCTGAGGGGTCTGAGCAAAAGATGAGCACATGAAAGAGTCTGTTGTTGTCCGAGCAGAGGCAGAGATGAAAGGCATCAAGACAGGAAGATGGATGGGATATTTGGGAGTAGAGAGTGAGGAACATGGAGATTTATGACATTCCCCATGTTGGCTACTTTGATTTTTTCTGTCTTTTTTAAAATCTTTACTGCATGAATGATTATAACCTATCTTTCCATTAGTAACAGATATGTGTCATACAGCCTGTAAATGGAAATAAGACTTTGATTTGTCAGATCTGGTCTGACAAGCTTGTGAACAGACAGACAAACAGAGGTGCAATAATTAGAATCAAAGTCAGTGTGAATCCACCATGATGGGCCACTCATGTACATATACGTTACACAACAAATACAACATGTATAAAGCTCCATAAAATGTGGTGTAAAGCTTGTTCAGCTGGCGAGCTGAATTTGAATTATACATCACTGTATGTGGGCTAGAAATACTAGATCAGAATTTTGTATCTAAACTTCAAAGCTCCAAATTTTCAGAATTTTACCAACGGACAGCTTAATCTACTGGAGGCCAACTTTAAACGCCACTGCAACTCAATGAACTAGTAAACACCGTAACGTGCCTGCATGAACGTTTTGTGCATTTTGTGCTGTTAATGACTGATATAATGGCCAAATCTGAAATATTGCTGTAGTTTTAATTTGCAATTTGAAATGTTTTTTCAGGGGATTTTTGCAGTAATTAAGATGTGACATGTGATATTCAACAATGGCCCCCAGTCAGAATTGAATGAATAATGTTTCTGTTATATAGTATACACGTATAGTATAGTATATAGTATGTAAAGTATAGCATATCTGTGTCTCGGCCAAAATGCTGTTTACAAAACAGAGTGCAACATGTGAAGAAAAACAGGACCAAAGTTCAAATTTACTTTTACAGATTACACTTGGTAAAAACTTTCTAATCATAATATTCAGTCGCACTAATGAACTTACAGATTCTGATGCAAATTGAAGCAGCTAAATTCTCTAAAGTAGGTCCAGATTAACCTGCTACAGTGTGAAAACAAAAAGATGTCAGGCTCCTAAATAACTCGTACTCTTCATACTGTTTATTACCCGGCTCGGTGCCGAGAAATATGCAGGGGAGAAAAATGCTTGTAAATGAGATGATATCAATATAATGTCTGTAGGGTAAATATGAACCCGGTTAGTTTAAAATAAAGGCTGGAAACAATGGAAACAACAGCTAGTCTATCTTTATGCAAAGGTTTTAAAAAAAGAAAAGAAATACACCTTCTAGACTCCTAAAGCTCATTTATTTACACGCAAAATTTTGTGTGTTTGTTTTGCACAAAAAACAAAGTATAAAAAACAACATGCTGTGCTTTAATGTGTCAGTGAATAGACATGTTTTACCAAATTATTCCTTAAGGACCTATTAACTTATATTGTGGCTCAGTAGTGCATATTAGAAAATCAATCAATAAAAGCACCACAAACACAGCAAATATGAAGCTTTCTTCCCGGCTCTGTCAACTTGGTAATGCAGCCTTGTTTTACATTACATTATAATGTGCATTATTTATAATTTTTTAAAAGTATTTTGGCATGTTTTTTCTCAAATAGAAGATAGAGAAATGATGCACAGCAAATAGATGTTTCAGTTCCAAGTTCTGCATCTCCATTACCCAGGCTAGCAGGACAATTTTATTTTATTTAAATAAAGACACAAGCCCTGTTTTAACAATTAAAGCATGACTGACTATGCTGATAGCAGCTTGTAATAGAAACAGATAAAAAACACAGGACTGAAGAAGGCAGACAGAGAACAGAACAAGCAGACAGAAGAAGCAGTAGACAAACAAACGCACAGAAGCATTCAGAAGCTGTTTGCCCTGTGGTGCTTCCCAGCTCAGCTCAGCCAGGCCTCTTCTGCTGAGCTGAGCTGTGCTGAGCTGCACACAGTGCTCCTCTGTCCCCACAGCAAACTGCTTTACAGCTCCACAGCACACAACAGCACATTATGGAATCGAAGATCCCCTGGTCACAGCTCCCGGTGCCTAAATACTGTCCCCCGCTGAGCACACACACACAGTCAGTGGCTCCGGTCGCACAGCCCAAAGCCACAAACAGCCAGTGAGGCCAAAGAGGGCACATAGATATATGGTGTGACACACATGAAAGCACATGCATACACTTAACCTACGTGAAGATGAATACACACCACCTTATTAGACATGATCCTAGTCAGCAATTAGCAGCCGTAAGAAAGGTCAAAGAGGTCACCCAGCTGCTCTACCTCACTGATGCTGATGACGGGGGTGTGACAGTCCGGTTAATTAACCAGCATCAAAACACAGCAGGATGGGATGACAGCAGGGACAGGGGAAGACTTCATTAAGGAGAAATGGCTTGTTAGAGGGAACAGGTGATGATATTTAACCACATTAGAGATTGGATGATGAGATTACAGCTGGCGGAGGATGTTTCCCTTGGACTGTTTATCTATCAGGTAAAACAATTTGAGCCAAAAAGGTGCTACCTTGTTTAGTATTGTTAAGAACTGTACGAACACAAGAGGGAAATAAACATCTGCAGGGCCAAAAGTAGAGGACATTGCTCTATAATGAGTCACATTAATAAGGAACAGAGGTTCGGTGGTTAGTATGGTCACCTCACAGCAATGACATCCTGTGTCTTTGCACTGGTACTGTCTATGTGCAGGTTGGATGATCATGGGACTTTTTCTGTCAAACTTGGATCTGAACCAAGATTTGGTTGCAGCATCTATTCGAAAATCTATTACTATTTTGTGTCTTACCTAGATTTTAACAGTCGTAGTGCATTCCAATGAAAACCCATCAACTGTAAATAAGGAAAGCAGTTTTAGGAGGATGGAAATATGTATTAACCTTAATAGCCATTCAGTTTAGAATGAGTTATTATAACCTGTACTTCGGTACAGGTTATACTTATAAGTACCAACAAACCTGCAGAGAAAATAGCATCAAATGAAACAGTACAGATGCTGTTGCACACTGTGGTGTCACTATTCAACCACATGGGGGCGCCTGCACAACAGTCAGAAACACTGTCCTCCTACAACACTTCATACCATAACCATTAGGTCTGACAGTTGTTTTCTTTAGTAACTGAATGAATAGTAAGTCAAAATAAAATGTCAGAAATTATAATAAAAAATGCCCATTATTGTCCCCCCAAAACCCAAATTAACATATTCAGATGGATTCACTTTGACTTACAAACAACCAAAAACACATTGCTGACTTTATTCTCTGAAAACTAGCAAATATCAATATGTGAGAGATTTTGGACCATTTGCTAAAAAATATTCAGCCCATTAATCAGTTAATCAGACTCATTGCCAAAAAAGTTTATGACAAGTGGATAATTGATTAATCAATTGACTAAATAATTAATAATGGATTAATCAACTTTTAGCTCTAGAGGGCTTTTGTGTTGCCTGGTGAAATAATCAAACTGCCATGTTTTGTCAGGGTTAACAGGGACCCAACAGTAAATTTTTAGGGCCTCCTAAGAGCTTAATCTGGTTGTGGCCAAAGGGAGCTTGTGCTTTACATTTCTGAAGACATTGCTATTCATCTACAAGGCTTCTTCATCACTAGAATAAACAACCACAGAGTTTTAAAAGTTTAACACTCAAAAAAATCATTTTATCTATTTCATCAGCTGTGGGTGGGTGAGGTTTGAATCATCCGCACAAATCTGACCAATGGACAGCTTGAGTTTATTTGCCTCAATAGCCAATGCCCTGGCTGTACAGGTGTTAGCAGGACGCTAATTAGCAATGAACACTCATTGTCTCTGAGCGTGTACCTGTGTGTTTTCAAGGCACTGACTCAAGCCAAACCTCACCACAAACCCTGGCTGTTTCTGCCATTTATAGTCAAGCTGACACACTTTTAACTGGAGTGGAGTGCCATCCCTTGTTAATTTGCACCTAGTCATGCCGTTCCATGGAGCTGTATATAATAATGCTGCCTATAAAATTCATTTTGTGTTCTGTTTGAATGCACAGTTACTACAGAGAACTAGATTTTGACAAATGCACGGGACATGACAATGTGGAGGCCAACTGTGGTGCAGATTCTCTGGCAAATAACCAGCGACAGCCATGCTAGTAGCTCTGTGAGGCTTTGAGCTGAATGTTAACATGTTGATATTTAGCAGGTATAATGTTTATCATGGTCACCTTTGTCTAGCATGTTAGAATACTAACATTTACCAAATTAGGAGTAAACACAAGTACAATTGTGGCTGATGGTAATGTCATTAGTTAGACACACATTGAACCTGGGACCTTTGGGGCTTCAGGAGGTTCCCAGAGTTCCCAGCCTGCTTAGGTTAACCAGCAGTGTTCGTGTCATAAAGAAAGAGGTAATCAAATAAGACATGTTTGTGATCCCATGTAACTCGACACAAGTGTTAAATAATGGAAATGTGCAATAGAGACTAATCAAAGACAGTTCAGGTGTTAACAGCATGTACTGTTTTTATTTGGCGCTTTGTTCATACAAAACAACACACTATTGCAAAGTGTTTGCATCTATTGATAAAAGTAAAAATAAAGTGCTTGTTCTTTGTCTGTACATGTTTAACTAATGATTTGGATGCTGTTTCGGAATTTCATTTGCTTAAATTTGTTATCTATCATGGAATAAACTGTGATAAATCTTGAAAAACCAAGTAAGTTATTTATCAGATAGGAGAAGTAACAGAACTCAGGCAGGAAGACAGACTTTCAAAATACATTTATGCCATGCTTCCTGTAAAATGAATATATTTTTCTCCCAGTGTTCTGTTTTTTCTCTCTATAACCTTATCTGTATATGATGTATAATCGTTTTAATATGAAAACAAAAACACAAAAACCATATTTACAAAAAAATGAATGGAAATCAAGAACATAAACCTTGACCTAACTATAGATCATCAACAGGTCAAACCGAATAAAACAGGAGAGCAATAAAGTTTTCAAGCTACCTCATGATCTGAGAGAAATACCTGGTCATCATGGTTAAAAGTAAATGAGTTGTGCATTTTATAGATGCTGATGTTACAAAGTGTACAATAGAGAATGTGAAGCTGACACACTGTGTTGAATTTTGGGTAAATGCGCCATGTTTGGAGCATCACGCTTATTATCAGTCATAGATATATACACTAAATACATCTATAAGTTCATTTTAAGAAACAAATACTATCCCATACAGCTACATACAGTAGTGGATGCTTCAATTAAAGTATGTCCAAATGTCCACTTTAGTGTTCGGTTTGAGCACAGACAGGGCAGAAATGGATTAATGTGCAATGTTTGTATTATCTGCTGACAGCTGCTAGCTAGCATTAGCTCCTGAATGGAGGGCTGAGATCAGTGAGTCCTTTTTCAGTCTGTCGCTCTCGTAGACAGGATCTCTATGTATGCTCCAAGTTAGCTACAGCCAGCTAAGGTTATCCATTCTGAATTACCGCAGTTAGTAAAGTGAGATCTAAATAATTTCAGCAACTTTTTCACCAAACAAAACAAGAATGTATGCAGATAAATACAGTGCGTATCTCCAAAAATGGCACCCCTGTCTCAACATTCAACATGGCATGTTGTACCTTCACATTCTCTACATCTGAGATCAGAGCAAGTTCTGAGCTGAAGCTTGTGACAGCTACAAACATATCCTTCTCTTCCACCAGATGCACAGTTCAAACTTTCATTGTTACTAGATCAGTACTTTGGTTGTGCACAAACAAAAAGAGAAAACAAATGGAGCAGCAGCCATTACCAGTGATTAAACTCCTGACTCTCTGCTGATGTATAAAGGTAGGGTGGGCTGTAGTCTGTCAAAGCTGATCTGATTCTCTGTGTCCAAAACACACAACATCTCCACCATCTGTTCCTCCACCAAAGTCTCCTTGAAACCCAAATGAATGTCATCTCTCATCTTTAAATCCCTGTCACTCCTAAGGTTCAGGCTCCCTGCTTCTTTTTTCACATCCTCATCCTCATCATCCCCACAGCACAAAGCTACCTCATTTTCATAGCAGAAAGCGCTAGGGGAGTGAGGGCCCAGTAGACGGTGGGCTGCCCTTGGGGGAAACGATGATGGAGACTGGGAGTAACTCGAGCTGGAGGATGAGGACTGCCTGTCACAACCCATCATCTGACTCAGTTCCCTGGCACTGCAGTTAGGCATAGATGGCACTTCATAGGTCTTATGGAAGCGGGAATAGTCCACGTGATAGCGGTCACCCTTCTCAAAGACCACAGGCTCAAAGCGGTGGCCCCATAGAATCTCCCTTGCTAAGTAGGAGCTACGGGCCTGAGTGGTCATAGCTGTGGCCTCCACCATCCCTTCCAGAATTACCACAATCTCAAAGTTCTCCTTCTGCAGGTCACTGCGGCTCAGGTCATACAGAGGACTGTTCTTATTGATCTCGTGGACCACCACCAACGGCGACACCAGAAACAGCCGATCTAGCCCTTCGTCATAGCCAACATCAATATCCGTTTGCTCCAAAGGGAGGTACTCGCCTTCCGCTGTCACGTGTGGCTTAATGAGCTGAGCACGCACGTGAGCCTCAACAATGTGGCTCTTGCGCAAGTTCCCCAGACGCCACATGAGGCACAGCTTCCCGTCTCGCAGTGCAATAACAGCATTATGTGAGAACAGCAAGGTCTGCGCTCGTTTCTTGGGCCGCACCATCTTTGCCATAATGGTGCCAATCATGAAGGAGTCGATAATGCAGCCCACGATGGACTGTACCACAACAGTCACCACAGCGAGTGGGCACTCTTCAGTGACACACCGGAACCCATATCCAATGGTGGTCTGGGTCTCTATGGAGAACAGGAATGCACCAATGAAACCATGGATGTGAAGAATACATGGCCGCCATTCATCTTTTATCTCTCCAACAAAACTCCTAGGATCCGTGTCCTTCACAGGAATGCGAAGGTCAAAGTCTCCATGAGCAAGTGCCACGCCCCAGAAGATCAGGCCAAACAGTAGCCAAGACAGGAGGAAGGTAGTGGTGAAGATGAGCAGTAGGTAGCGCCAGCGTATGTCCACACAGGTGGTGAAAATGTCAGCCAGGTATCGCCGTGGCTTATCCTCCATGTTGTTGAACACCACGTTGCACTGTCCATTCTTCTTCACAAAGCGGCTACGCAGACGGCCAGTGCCCACCTCCAGGCCCACGCGACTTGAAGGTGAAGCACGGCAGCTGTTGTGGATGATAGGTTCATTTGTCACTCTCAGAGACAAAGCTCCTCTTCCTTCATCACTTCCTGGACACTCTCCCCCTTCTCCTCCCTCCTCACGACACATACAAGCCCCGGATAGTGTCTGCTGATTCAGAGGGCTGTGGCCGTTGTGTAGGCCCAGGCTGGAGATCTTCAAGGCGTCTTCATCTGTGGAAGCAATGCTGTATCTGGAAAAACAGAGAAGGAAAGGTAAGCTCAGGAAAACTGACCGTTCCTACTCCCCTTACTGTTGCTACTGTATAACTGTCAAGCATTCTGCTCTCACATAACACATACAGACAGGTGACAGTGCTCCCATCCATAGGACATGAGGGGTCACTGAATGGTTTGGTGAGTATAAAAACAATGTGAATCATATGCTATGGCCTTCACAGCCACCAGATTTCAACCCAATTGAAAACCTATGGGAGCGTTTGGAGCTTTTTGTTAGTATCTCCACCACCATAATCAGAAGAGTTCTTTTGGAGGGATGGTGTTCATCCCGCCAGCACAGTTCAGAGACTTCTGGTGGCACATGGTGGCCCAGCACCTTACTAAGACACTTTATGTCAGGTTTTCCTCCATTTGTCAACCTATCTGTTTCAGATTCACAAACAATGGGTCCCTAATTTCAAACAAAAGAGGATTATCATTTGCAGCTGGCAACATAATTTTGCTCTCTGAAATGAACTGTACTAAAGTGCTGAGGCTAAAGCTGCATGGCGGAGGGAAAAACGTCAGTGTCTTATTTAGTTGATAAGTCCTGTGGAAAGAAGTGTTTCAGATTTAATGTCACCAAAAAAAAAATGTCTCTTAGAATTAGAAACTAACCACTGTGGCTGGGGCTCCTTGTGAATAAAGTCACCCAGATCCATTAAACAGCAAGACAAAGATGATGAAAATAGCCTGAACTCTGATAGCATCCAGGACTGGTTTCCATACAATAGAGAAATTTTACAGAGTGGATGTGCTAATCATGAATAGGGCTCTTTTTTGATATAGGCTAATGTACACAAGACAAAAGTAGTGAGTTAGTAATGTGCTTCTTTGATTTTGAAGTAATGGTCATCACAAGATAGTTAACCGGACATGCTAACAATTGCAGCATACAATATATTGGAGGAGATAAACACCTTTGTTCTTTCTTTACACTTTTTCATTTATAAATTCTCATGAAGTTGAAAGTTTGAACATTTTCTAATAATCCACCAAGGCTCCAAGATACACATGTTGGTAAGTCACATATAACAGGTAGTAAACTATCAATTTTGCACTTATAAGAATAATGAGGTTCTCACTTTATAAAGACAAATCCATACATTTAGTAAGCTATTAGCATGCAATCCAAAATGAGTCATGCTGTGAGTGATTTATGAAGGGTTTTTATAAAGTTGCGAAAGATAATGAATAATGAATAAACGCATTGCTTCCTGGTGCTCTGCAGCTCTTCTCTAGAAGGGCAGAAACAAGGCAATGTGTCCAACTGGAGAAGGACAAACACCAGCCACAGACATTTCCCACAACCTGGCAACATAAAGTGTTTCAATAATGGCTCATAAGTGATAAACATCAGTTAGTGATAACTGATAAATAACCATTAATAAAGCCATTAGTAGCAATTTATAACCCTTCAAAAAGCATGATTTATTCAAAAGTGGTACCAGTGTTTTTAAGTATTTTCTTTAACTTAAACAGTACAAAAATGCCATCATTATAAAAAAAAACATTGTGGCTTTTGACATTTTATGATTTATTTTGATGTTTTATTTCAAATCCTATCTCACCTGTTGACTCGCACCGCTCCCATGGCACCGGTGATCATCAGGCTGTGTCTGCGAGGGCAGTAATGTAGGTTGGGGCATGCAGTTCCAACCATTAAAGTACTGGTGCTGGACAGGGTGGCAGTATGAGCTCAGGTCTGTCATGCATGTGTTATCAGCACTGCCTTTTTGTGATTTTCTGTGAATAAAGGGGACAAAGAGGCTATTTCTCCAGTTGTCAAAACATTGATTCATAATGACTTCAAAGGGTGAAGGTACAGGACTTTTTCAAGCAAAGCAAAACAAAAGAACAGCAATGCTTTAAGCTAAATGCTAATGTGAACATGCTAACATCCTCATATTAACAGGTATGAACATTATAATCGCCAACGTTTGTAAGCTAACGTTTAGTGCATGCTAAGGCTGATAGGAACGTCATTCAGTCATAAAAACACATTGGACAAAGTGACAGTTGACTTGAGGTCAAAGGTTAAAGTGTTTATTTGTCATATGCATATTTAGGAAACATGCGTCCCTTTACAATGAAATTCTTACTTTGCCGTCCACATGAATACCACATAATACAAGTGAAATATAAAATAGATAAGCAATAACACAAATCTAAATAGGCAGTAAAATCACAAATCTAAGGCACTTTAAAGTGGCAAGTGAAGGAAGCAAATAAAAATACAACAAGAACACAATATAATGCAGAGAGAATATATGCTGCAAAATGAGTATGTAAACAGTACAGATGGAATTACATGAGGTAGATCCTGAGTCAGCTGTTTAGGAGTCTGATGGCAGAGGGAAAGAAAGAGTTTTTCAGTCTAGAGGTCCTGCATTTCACACTTCTGAGCCTCCGACCGGAGGGCAGGGGTATGACCAGTCCATGCTGGGGGTGGGTGGGGTCTTTGAGGATGGAGGCAGCTTTCCTATGCACCCTGCGGTGGTAAATGTTCTGCAGAGAGGGCAGTGGAGTCCTGGTGATCTTCTCTGCAGTCTTTACCACTCTCTGCAGGTGCTTGCGGTCCATAGCAGTTGTGCTGCCATACCAGACAGCGATGCAGCTAGTCAAGATGCTCTCAATGATGCAGCTGTAGAGGTTGCTGAGGATCCTAGGTGACATGCCAAACCTCCTCAGCCTCCTTAGGAAGTACAGCCGCTTGACCAGCTGTGTGGTGTTAAGTGTCCAAGTGAGGTCCTCACCGATGTGGACGCCCAGGTATCTGAAGATGGGGCTACATGAAAAGTTACTGGGAATTATTATAATCCAGCAGGAAAACATGAATAGTTGCACTGTTCTTGTTATTCATTTAAAAGTTGTTGAACCTTAAAATAGTCTTTTAAATGTCAGCCTTGGGTTGGTGTTTGAGGAAAACCCAGGAATCAGCAAAGTCATTAAGATGCATCGAAGAATGTCTGCATGGCAATGTGTGTCAATCCATCTGGTAGCTGTTCAGATATATATGTAAAGATAAAAGTGATGGAGCAACTAATAGACCAATATCACCACCCACAAAGCCATCATGTTAGTATGGCTAAAAATCACAGTGCTAAAAAGAAAAGGCCTTGCCCTAATGCACAAAGCAGACCAGACAGTTTTGTGTAATGAAAGCTTATTGATTAGATCCTTGCTAGTGGTTAGCCCTAAGGACCTTCAGGCTAACTAGGGGTGGAAAACCACACAAATATTGGAAGAGACAAAGGTCTGAATCAGTGATAATCTACTGGTAAGAGAACAATTGATCTGCTGTTTGGCCTGATGACAATGTTAGACCGTGATTTTGCTCAGCTTATTATGTCAGCAAACTGGGAGCCAGGGGAGCCAAAAGTTGCATAACCAGTAGAAGGCCAATTGCATGTAGTATTAGTGGTTTATATTTTACTGTTTGTGAATCACATTGGTTGATATGAATGAGCAGACTGGGCAGGTCTGCATTAATAAAAAGGTAGATTGTCTTGGGAAAATTTCAGATGACTGCATCAACCTCTTCATTTGATGTAGTTGTCATGCCAGTAATTACAAACACATAAAGACATATGTTTACAGATTTGAATTTTGATTTGGTTTCATGTAAAGTGGGCTGGGTGAAACACTTCCAGACTTCTTTCCGTGTTACAACAGATGTTACAAGCTCATGGCCGATTGGCTGCATAAAGGATGATTTTCAACCAGATAATCCCAAAAGAACAGAAGGTTACATCAGCTTGCTAACTCTCACAGCTGGAGAAGAGAGTTCCCTACCATGAAATCACAAACTTTTCTTACAAAGTACATTAAGAGACCAGGCGATACATCAAGCCACTCAGAGTCCCATGTCTGTAACTGATGTGCGATTATGGTTGATATTATACAAAGATGTTGATAGAAATGTTCTTTTTACTTGACAGCTTGATGCAATAAAGTATTGTTACGATGATGACCATTAGGTTGACAAAACAACAAAAGCATGTTAAAATGTAATGGAATTTAACACAACAACACACACTATGATATGCTAAAAGTCTTTCTTGACCTTGGAAATAACAGTGTCACAAAACTATGCCACCTCAAGCTTCACTTTCTAGCTTGGCATTAGGGCCAGATAGACGAAGAAGTCCGGAACGTATATGCGTAAAGTCATGTGAACAGCTTCGTCTCCATGACATGAGCAAACTCTGTCTCAAAACTCAGGGAAAAGGTAATAAGTGGCTCTTGAGCTGGGAAGGTTTTGTCAAAAAACACAAACTATAGTGATAATTTATAAATGACACCAACATTTCTCTGATATAATCTGTTAAAATGGTCTGCACTAACTTTTACTGGTTTCATGTTACTGTTTTCACCCACTGTGCAGTATCACTGACTCATCAAAGACCTAACCCCTGTTTTATTTTTTGCCTCTCTTCTGAAATATGTTCACTTCATCACTATTTTGTATGAATCGTCTGACAAAAAGAAAATCACATGGACAGTTATGTTCGCATGTAACACATAGAGTAATTAACCCAATTAATGCAGCCAGCTGTTGTCAGTGTATACCTGACTGATGTCTTTTTCTCAGCTGACAGAAGTCCTTGGGGAAAACTGCAGTAATTAATGGTTGCTCATAGTGTACAGTATTATCTGTCTCCATAGGAACTTCTCTTTTCTCTATACCGACCTAATTCAGTGTGTGTGTGTGGTGTGTGTGTGTGTGTGTGTGTGTGTGTGTGTGTGTGTGTGTGGTCATGGTTTATCATGAGAGACAACTTGTGAGGAGGAGGAGGAGATAAACCAACGGATGAGAGGAGAGAAGAGGAGAGGAGAATGCCTTGTGGACTCCTCCTTGAGGAAAGCATGTATGATGTAAGACACATCAAAACCCGCCCGAGTCAACAGGAATAAACTGCAGCGCTGCACAAACACAGATCATTATTACCCAGTGGGTCAAAGATGCTCCTGTCTGCTGTAGCTCTTACACATCAGAAGGCTTAAACTGACTTACAGATGGTTGACAACTTAAAGAAAACCCCTGGATAAATAAGTGGAAATAACAAAATGCAGAGGTCACTGATAACTCTGTTGATTATGTTCTTGATTATTAGATTTTTCTTTTTATTCACTGTATGTGGGAAAATTGGGGAAAAATACCCATTTTGATTTTCCAGAGTCAAACGCAGGGTCTTCAAATGCCTTGTTTTGTCCAACCAATAAATACAAGGATGTTCAGTTTATTATTATGAAGGACAAAGCAAAGCATCCACTCTTCACATTAAAGAAGAACATGTTGGTGAATATTAATACAAAATCTGTGCTGGTGAATTTTCTATCAATTGATTTATCAATTAATTGGCCAGTGGTTGCAGCTCTAGGCTACTGAATGGCTTAATGGGTATGGAAAAGTGTGCTGACCACAATGGAGGAATGTGTTTTGGGAGAATGACGTTTCCTTCCCTCAAGCAGAGGCACACTGAAGCTGTTTTGGAGACACTTTACTAAAAAGTGTATGTTTTTCACTTTATGTTAGTTTTTCTTCTAGTTTGTCAACCATCTGTATATTACAGGATAATCCCATGCAAAGGAAAGCATGAAGGAAGCCCTTGTTAAATATTAGATTATCATCTCCACTAGTCTCCTCATCCAAACAACAATACAGTGGGAAAGTTTGGATTGAGTTGCTGTGTGACCTGATTTAGGCACTTTTGTGTAATCTGAGATCTCATGATATGAGAATCAAGGGAGAAAGAAAGAATAAGAGAGAAAGAAAGAAAGAAAGACTATAAACCAAGGTAAGTAAGGACTTTACCATTTGAGGTCCAAGCCATTTTCAGAGAAGTGGAAGACTGACAAAACAAAAGCATGCACATACACAATATACTGGCTATTCCTACTGCATTTTCTAAAAGGCAAAGGAAAGTGGCTATGTCAGGCTTTCAGAGGTGGTTTTTCCCTGTAACTCTTTGCAAGATATTCTGCAGTAACATTTAAAAAAAGACCTACATCATAAGGACAGCCCTGATGTGTCCTAGTCCTACAGAAAAGCAAAAATAGAGGCCTGACTGTGTAACTGGCACATACTGTACTTCTTCTCGTTCTAAGATGAAATTACATTTGTTGTAGTTAATTTGTTTTTTCTAAATTTTTACTTTACACATGTACTGAACAACATGTTTACATATACCAATATAGAACTTTTTACTCTATTACATTTATCCAACAGCTGTTAATAGTTACATGTAACTGACTGGTTTACATACAGTAAAATGATCCATTGTAATAGACTAAACCACCAGTGTATAAAGTTAACAAAATCTTAAAAATATTAAAAGTCTGTGCATGTAAATGGATTATAGTCCAGTAAAATATCTTAGCTTTTATTATTCTTGTAATATTATATATTTTAGGGTGCTTTATGTCATTTTATGTTAAATTGGTTGTGTTGGCTTCGATATTTGCTGATATGTTTTATTCTGGGTCCAAATCTGCAAAGCACTACTGTTGTTCTGAAAAGTGCTGTATCAATAAAATGTACTGATTTTGCTGATGCTATTTTTATTAATATCCAAATATTTGATACATATAGCAGTAAATGTATCATTATGTTGTTAATACTTTTACTTTATGAACATTATGCGATTACCTTTACTCAAATAAAAGTTTGAATGCAGGACTTATAGTTATTAGGAAAAATTATTTTCTTTTTCTTTTACACGGTATTGCATCCTAATATGTCTATATTACATAAATTAGCTGTATTTTAAAAAGGTCCGTCAGTTCAGTTGAAATTACCTTTAAAATATGTAGGCCTATTAATTGTTTTATCAAAATTTAAAATAAAGCCGATAAAAGTGAGGTTTCCATCTTTGCACACGCATCCCTGAGGGAGGAAGTCTTAAATGTCGATCAGCGGTTTACACGGCACAACCAGAAGTTATGACGGGGTGGTTTGCAAACACAGCACCAGCTGTGCCATGTGTGTGTCTCACTGAGGACCCAGGAGCTGTACAGTGCTGAAAATCAATTCCAACCCTGTAGGAATAATGGACAGCAGGGAGCGGAGGGAGGGGAGTTGGGGTGGGCGGGGGGATACACTCACACCCACAGTTTTTACAGCCGACTTACTCAGCCGTATGAAGGCTTTGTTTAAGTACTGATTGTGTTTTCTCAGTAACTAGGAAGATGTAAAACAGACAGGCGACTACCGCAGAATGCAATGAGGTGGCTGTTTGTTATTGTAAAATTTTAAGAAAAGTAAACAAGCTGGGGTCAAGAGCAAGCCTTTACTGATCATCACAAAACAAAAAAATGCATTTGTGGAT